CTTTGCGAGAGCCAAACACCAAGGCCCCTGGTCTTCGCTTTTCCTTCAGTGCACCCCCTGCTGATGGCCGGGGTCTGTGAATAGGGATATTTTCGCGAAAGTTCCGCGAAAGTTATGCGAAAGAGCGGGCGAAAGGCGGGCCAGTAAACTTTGCAAAACATAATCTGTCCTGAGAAGGGATTCCGTGATGCTAGCTGCATGTTTAAAAGGCTACCAAGAAGTGATCCGTGATTCTCTGGCGTAATTTGGCAGGTGGTGAACGAATCTTCATAAGAGGTGTTGTTGGCCAACATGGGCTCCGCGAAAGATAAACATGGAGTTCGCGAAAGTTTCGCGAAAGTAAAATTTTTATTCACGAAGAATGGCCGTTCCGGGATAAAGGAATTTTGATCAACAACCAGGTGAACATGCCCACATGTAGTAAATCCCATGCAAAATGGAAGGTGAACATGCCCAAATGTGGCAAATACCATGCAAAATGACAAATTCAAGTTCCAAACCGTTGCAAACACTAGGCAAATGGTACCAGCCAAGAAATCAAAAAAAAAATCCCAAACCTGCTCAAAAAAAAAATCCTAAAACTATTTCACACCCCTTTAAATAATGGAAAGTTGAGTGCAGAGCTGGACGGCCTGGTGCCAATGCACGTTGCGATTTTTCCAATCCATGTCTCTGAGGTATTGCGGCTGCCACGACAATGTGAAGCCAGGGCATACGAAGTGCTGCACCTGTCACACAAAATCATCTTCCCAAAACTGAAGATCTGATGCTGTAAAATGCAACCCCCCTCAGGAAATCAGCGCCCTAACCTCCTAACATCTCTGATGAACATGTCTCTTGTACTGCGCCTGCCACGGAAAATGCATCTTTGCAGATCCTCTTCAAATGTCCCACGTCTGCCATCGTTTTGGAAAATGCTAGAAAACCCTCACGTTTCGCTTTTGACAAGGTGGTGCACAATCCCTTGCGCCGGCCACGCGGAACGACATCTGAACATCCAAAAGTGCTCCGTACCCGTCAGTTTCTTGCACTTTTGACTTGGTGCTTCGCGCCACAACGGCGTGCACTTTTTCGACATCTCAACTTCCAAAAGCGGTCCGAACGTGGTGTGCTTTGTACATTTTGACTTCGAAAATGTGCTTGGCGCCACAAGGGCGTGCACTTTTTGAACATCTCAACTTCCCAAAGTGCTCTGAACGTGGTGCTTTCTGCATTTTGACTTGGAAACGTTCTTCGCGCCACAGCTGGTCCGACGTTGCTGTGCTTTGTACATTTTGACTTCCAAATGTGCTTCGCACCACAACGGTGTGCAACTTTTCATCTCTCATATGACCACATGGCTCCGCACCCGCCGCTTTAGCGAGCCTACTTTTCGACCCTCCGGAGCCACAAATCATCGGAAAAAACACAGTGTTTCGCGACTTTCCTACATTTTCGCGCACCTGCATCTTCTTTCTTCTCACTCTTTCTCTTCTCTGATCTTCTCTCTTATGCTCTTCTTCTCTCTGACTCTTCCCAACTCTGCTTTTCCATCGGTCCATATTGTCGGAAGTTTGACTTCTAAACTTCCTTCGATTACACCTACAATATCCCCATCATACTCCATATTACTCCATACAGAGGGTATGGAAAACATAGACATATTATTCCTATGAACCGATGGTTGGATATAAAACCACATTGATATCTGATATCATTTGATATCACAACCAATAATTTCAACATCCTCAGAATTTGCCAAATTACTACTGTTTCTATAATCCCATCCCATCCCCCTGATGTTCAAGACCCCGTAAATGGGACCCTACTAGACCATGGTTTCCACGGGCTGTTGAATATGAATAGCGGATTTTTGTTCATCAATAAATCAATATAAAAAAACACGTTTTATCTCATTTTATCTTGTAATTGTCCCACTAATTAATATCGCCCTTGCAATCCCATTATCTGGGTGAACTATAATGATTCACCTGACCTGAAAAGTTCGGCTATATTGGGCGAGATCAGGCGTTTCTTTGGGATAATTCCCCTTGCGCGTACTATCCATGAAATATGTCAATGAGGTAGCGGTGAGGGTCCTCAAAAATAGAGCCAGATCCCATGAGAATCCCGTCCCTGTTCATAAATCACCATAAATCTTCATCCCCCCAAAAAATCGAAGTATATCCCCATAATATCCCTTTAATATCCTTTAATATTCTTCCATATATCCCTAGCGCCGCGCCCAGTCCTCATTCGGCTCAGGTTGCTCCGCCGCATCTCTGTTGAAGGAGCGCCACAAGCGCCGCTGCAGCAGCGCCAGCGGCTCCGGCGCGGGCTCCAGCGGAGTCAAAGTGCCATGGAGCTGACCGAGCTGACCGAGCTGACCGGGGAAAAGGCGGAAAAGGGGCACAGTTGAGACAGTTTGGAATCTCGACTGTGGAAACAAAAATGCACAACTAACGAAAAAACAGATGGACAAAGGTTGGTTTTTGGACCCTTCGGATGCTTTATCTGGATTGTCGGATTTTTGAAATCCGAAATGTGGGAATTTACCTGATTTTATCATCAAAAAATGTGGATAACCAATCTTTATTCTATCAAAGGGTCAATAATTCAAGATCTGCGTTTTTTAGATTTGTTCGGGTCCTTTAGTCACTTGAAGGTATCTAAACAGCCGCGCGAGGTCCATGAAATTTCTCATTTAAAGGGAGCCCCGTAAAAAAAGGTGGAAGTTGCAACCAAACTGCAGCCCACAGGGGATCGAACTAAGCTTATCCCAGGTAAAGCAACCGTTTTTCGATGAAAGTCTCCAGTCTTCACAAGAACGATCGTCCACAAATGGGCCGTAGCAATTCCTCTTCGCTGGCTACTTCAAATATGATATCCCCTAGCTAGGGCTCGGGTGAAACCAGCAACCAGCTGGGCGCCTCTTCTTCATAGAAGCGTAGCAAATCGGCGAACAAGGCCTTTGGACACAAGCAAGCATCCCAGAAAAAAACCATCCCCGCATTAAAAAAACACACTATGTTCATCATAGACCATAAAAAGTATGTGTGAAATCTTTAAGGGGAAGAAAGTTATCCTGTGCCCACCGGGGTGACTGAGGCCATGTGGTTTGAAATTGGGCTCATGGCAATTAAATGGGGCTTTGATACTGGCTTGCCATTACAAGTTTAGAATCCAATGAGACAGCCTAGAATTAAATGATGGGGAAATTTACAATAAGACCTTGGTTTCCCGCTATGATTTTCCTACAAAACCAACCTACTGAGGCATCGCAAGAAAACGAATCAATATCACCTTATAGGGAAATTTTTACGCGGCTATACACATGAATCATCATATGTGATGGTTTATAATGTTGTCTGACCAATAGTGATATCTTGTCAATAGTAGAAACATCTTTCCGCAACTCCAATTTTTCTCCAATACTAAAAGTCAATTAGCTCTATTTACTTTTAGTATTGCCAAAAGAGTCATGTTCAGACCTTGTCCAGAGGGCATGGCCAATAGTGGACCCAACATGGCAATAGTGGAAACTTTTTTCCCAACCCTCAATTTTTTCTCCAATACTAAAAGACAATTAGCTCTATTTACTTTTAGTATTGCCAAAAGAGTCAAGTAAAGCAAATCCTTTTCAAAGCAGCCTTCGCTTTTGATTAGCAAAAGCTTAGATTCCAGAAATCTGATCCAATTACCAAACAGCTGATTTCCTTATAAAACCCTTATAAAGAAAAGCAAAAAATCAGGTCCACAAAGGGTACCCCCTTTGCAAGCCCCAGAATAGCAATAACAAACCTGCACCAAGCATGGCAATAGTGGAAACTTTTTTCCGCAACTCCAATTTTGTTGTCCTCCTTCTCCTTCTCCTTCTTCTCCTTCTTCTCCTCCTCCTCGTCCTCCTCCTTCGCCTCCACCAAATCCATTCAGAATCTTTCAGAAACCCAACAAAACCATGGAGAATCTATCAGATACATATCATGATCCCAGCTATAGATTCCCAAAAATTATTATAGGAAGGTTGACCCCCCCCTAAATAATAAAAAAAAATAGGGGGGGTAATTACTATTAGGCAGCAAACATTAGCAACCCCGAAATGGTACGAACAGGTCGGGCCCAGTGCTCCACCTGCCCACACAGGCCATCGGAATAGGCGTGGGTGATGCTGCAGTAAATGTACCAGGCCACTTCCGACGGCGGCTTCCTCGGTGCCAAAATTTAAGATGGAACGCAACAAAATATTACGTCTAAGAAACAGTTCATTTTACCACTCTTTGGGGTTCCATGTTGGTGTGCATGGGCATTTGGATTTGCAAAATTGAATTTAGACATATGTTTCATGAATCACAAGATACTTGCAAATTTCGGTATGCCATCAAAACAATTCCTTGTTGCTGTAAATTATCAGGGGCAAACCCACTTCATCAACGCCACTCCAATTCGCCTCCTCTCTCAGTCTGGGTCCAAGTGGCGCCAAGGCTGCCTCGATTGCATTACGTCCAGTCGCCTCGATTTCTTGGAGACTGACAGCAGAACAAAACACATGTTGGCTTCAGCCAAGGAATCCCTCAATGTAAGACTGTATCCAAGAAAAGGAATGGCAAAACCCATACCATTTGGATACTAGCGAGTACCATTTGGCTAATGACCAACTTTCCAATGGTACCCCTTCTTCTCTATCGCAAATTCACCCTGTTTGTGTGTCATTGTTGCTGCTTCAACCCACTTTTGTTACGCTGAAACCTGTACTCAGTTTGGATCTTAATCAATCACGCCTAACCAAAAATTGTCTTGTTGTGGGTGCCTCAAATAAACCAACCATTAATAGACTAAGGTTTCTGCGGATTTCATTCACAAGTTATTCATACATGAAAACGGTTGTAATATGAAACTAATTGGCGGCTTCAATCCGTATCAAAAAAAGTGTTTGTCCTTAGGGATCATCGTCCCATGTCTGCGATTGAACATATTAACATATGTCATATGTTAACAAAAATATGTGAAAACACCTGACCATATTAAACTATATTAAAGCAGGTCAAACATATCTTATCAGGTATCCCCGTGATATCACCATCTTTTTATCATCTTTCCTCGTTAGCTTTATGTTCACCGCTTCCAGCCAGATCCTATAAAACAATTGAATATGTTTTTCCTCTAAAAAATGTGGAAAAATGTAAAACAAAAAAGCAACCAGAAAAAAAACAAAACAAAACGCAAAAAAAAAAACAAAAAAAAACTAAAAAAATGCAAAAAAAACAAAGAAAACAAGAGAAAAGGCAAAAGGAACACATAAAAAGCAAAACTTCAAATCTCAATCAGTATTTGGTTGCAAAAGCAAATACCTGACCTCATGCAAACAAATATTCAAATTACCAGCAGCAAGCAAGAAGAACATGGAGCAAAAACTTATTCCTTCTATTCTAACAATGGTAATGATGTGATTAAAAATAAAAGGGCTTAACTTGGAGTGACCCCCCCACTAACAGTGGAATAATGGATTTTAATTGTAACTTCCCAGCCAAAATTGCACAACAACCCAGGGACCAAAACCACAAACAATTTGAGAGGCCCAATCTTCTCAATCCAAATTGGAGCTTGCAGAGATTTTGTTGGATAAAATCCCTTTTGGGCAAAGGGATTTTGTTTCCCTTTTTTTTCTCGTTTTTTTTGTTTTTTGTTTTTGCTGCTCTGGTTGGGTCGCATTTTTTTTTGTGCTTTTTTTTTGGTGATTTGTTTTTTTTGCATTTGTTTTGCATTTTTTTTGTGATTTGCTTTTTTTTTTATTTTTTTTCAGATTTGCATTTTTTTGCATTTTTTTGCATTTTTTTTGCTTTTTTTTTTCAGCTCAAAAAAAGTTGCCATGGAGTGACTCCTCTTCGACGAGGTAGTCACACATCTCTGCCTGCCTGTCACGCGGAGTTTTGGCAACCAGCACTCGATCAGCTGGAGCTTACGTTCCTTCCTTGAGGTCTCTGTTCCAAAAAAAATGCTTACCCAGCTACGTGCTAGCTAGCAGCTAGCAGCTAGCACAGTTAACACTTCTCACCAAACAGTCGTAGCAGCAGCACGGTTCAAACTTGTCCATTCTAGCTGTGGTTTGTTGAGTTTATAAACGATGCACTAAAAACAAATATATAAACAATTTTAAATTGTGGATGCGGTTCAAATTTTAAAAAGCAAATAAAAATAGTTGTAGTTCAGCTTTGTATTTGTGGTTGTAGTTATAGTTAGTTAGAAGTTGTAATTCTAGTTGTTGTAGGGGTAGTGGTAGTGGACGGTGGTTGAAGTTGTAGTCACAATTGCAGCAATTGCAGTTGTAGTTGCATCTGTAGTTTCTAGCTGTAGGTCTTGTATCTTGCAGGTGTAGTTGTAATGTAATGTAGTTAGGTTGTAGGTTGCAGTTGTGGTTGTATAGTGTGTAGTTGTAGGTTAAGTTGAAGTTGTAATTTTCTTGTAGCGGCGTTGTGGAGTACAGTTGTAGTTGTAGTAGTGATTGTTGTAGTACTGATCATTGTAATTTTGTGTAATGTTTTCTGTTTTCCCAAATCAAGCAATTCTGCAAGACTTCCTCAATTTGGGAAGTTGACAACATCAAAACAACAATTCAAAGATGTCACAAAGCGACAAAGCAATTTTGTGAGGCCAGGCTTCTTTCAAAAATGAAATGTTCTGTATACCATATGCTATATACTTTATAGTATGCTATATCTGATATCTGTATTTCAATACTATATCCGTATATCTGATATGTCCAATTTGATATTGCGGATTTCAAATCCAGCTAGTGACTCTATGTTTTGTCTACTTATTATGATTATGATTGTCTACTTATTCAGAAGGGATTGCAATTATAACTATCGTAATTGTAGTAGTATTTTACTAATTTAAAATCTAATCTAATTCTTGCTTTTTCGGTTTTTCTTTTTTTTTGGTGCTTTTTTTCTTTTTCTTTTTTTTTGCTTTTTTTTGCTTTTTTTTTGCATTTTGATTGTTTTTTTTTTGGGGGGGGGGTGCTTTTTTGTTTTACATTTTTTTCACATTTTTTCCACAAATAAATTGATTTTCAAGTTTATAGGATTCCGGCTATCTGGTGAACATAGCGTTAGCTCATCATGTAGAGCCCAGCCAGCTACCAACCACGGTAATGTGTTTGACCCACAATTCAGGTTCTTTTATTGTGCATACCCCTATTTGGTTAACGGAATGGTTCATTATTGAGTGGACCAAGCTATTATAGTTGTTTACACAAGCTACTCTTCCAGCTAATCAGCCACAGCCAAAGGCCCACGCCTGGCCATAGAACAGCGGCGCCACGGCCACTTCGAAGGGCCAGCGTCGGGGCCGCAGGAGGTCGTCCAACAAGCCGCCGATGTACCTTGGAGCGCGGGACAACGCGGGTGAGTGCCGGTCAAAACATTCTGTGTAATTTTTGTTCTTCTTCGCTGACATGGAATGATGCTATTTTATGCTATTTTGGGATATTGCCCGTACTAACCATTCTTCCAGTGAGGTCGCAGTGAAGTCGTTATAATCTACCCAGACATAAATGGTTTACTGTAAAAAAACTTTGTTAGCGGATTGATGACCATTCCCCGACATGGATGTACAGTCAAACTTTTGACGTGGGGTTTGCGGAGTCAAAGTCCATCATGGCACATGTAAACACACAACTTTGGCATCATCCCTACTATCATCCTGAATCAATTTCATGGAAAAGGTTTATGGATCGAATCTAGTCCCTATTCAGTTTGCCCAAAGAAATATGATTCTCGCAACCATTGATCCAATAATGTCAGTACTCTTTTTTTGCGTAACAAATCGTCATTGCTGAGGAAGAACGTTAATTAATATTTGGGGACACGGAATTGACTAACATGATAGTCCCGAAAGCATGAGATAAGCCAAACCCAGTTTACTTTGGGGTGCTTTCCCTTGCGACCCACCAGCTTTGATTTGGGTAATGTGCACCATTGAAATTTGCCTTGGCACCATTGTGATTTGCGAATGTGGAACTTGCAAACACACAGTATTTCTAATATACCCCGGCGAGTCTCTGAGCGGAACATCATGCAGCCAGTTGGCCTCTGAAATCGTTTTGGATTCAATGCTTGACCCATGCTCCCCTTTCACAAAGCATTAGGCTGCGCAACTCTTCCGTGCAGCAATACCAACCAAGTCCCACCCACACGCACCCGCTCCCATCAGACATCCAATTTTACGCCAGCTGTGCTTATTCGTTGATGGCTGCGAGGTTCCAATCCCTGGAAGCCTTGTCCTCGAATACCATTTCGGTGAGTTGTAGACAAAGCTTCATACCATCCTTGGAACTGCTTCATCCCCTGGGCAACATTTTCTGTACATATATGTAAACGGCATACGCAAATAAAAAGATGATACTGAATAAACATTTTTTGAAAACACAATATACCCATCTATATATATGAGTACATATGTATATATATATAGTATTTATTTATCGATTTATTTATTTATCTCTTTATTTGTTTATTTATTTACTTTTTTATTCATTTATTTATACAGATGCTACTGAAGGACACCAGCAAACAACACTTCTCCCCCACTGAAAAGAACCACATTAGTGTATAAGAATCTAAGCTGGCCGGTGGTTGATGAGAATTAAACCCTTCAAGAGGCTGAACAAGTGTAAATTATAGTTTTAAGTCAAATCGTTCATTGGCATCCACAAGTTAATAAACCGCCAGTTTACAAACTAGGGGGACATAAATGGGTTTGTCTGAACATAGGGTACTCCCTAAATCCGCTGGTCATCGTCATTGTCCTTCTCATTTTGGAGCCACTTGGTGGTACTCCGTACATTTTCAGCGAAACCTCAAGCACAAGTAAAACCAAGGCCTGATTAACCAAACAGACTTGACCAATTGTTGTAAAAAACGTGCGAATCTTAATAGTGCAATAAAAACATATCATTCCCTAGCCTTCCAATTACCTCTGGGACGAACAACCAGGGCAATGGGGGACGGTTACACATCTGACAGAGCAGTCGGACATGAAGGTATCTGAACCTGCCCAGCATCTTCATGGTCGCGGGGCGGTTTGTACATGGACGCTTGCCCCTGCGCTACCATAGATCGCTTGGCGTCATCCACCAGGTGTAGCCGAAGCTCGGCCCCTGCAGACGTGCTCACCTGCCCATGGATTCTGGACATGACCAGAAAAAAATGATATATGAGCGCCGCATGGGCGGAATATGAAGGGACATTCTGGGAAATTGATGGATAGCCTTGGGATAGTCACAGACAAATCCATGAACATAACAATTTGAATCACCATCCTGGTTATGTCTGTTGATTCACGCTCATACATCCAACTACTTCGTGATACCTACTATGAACCCGAGGTAGCCTCGTGAAGTAAACCAACTTTGCTATCTAGAGGGCCCCGCATTGTTTGAAGTCCCTTGAAGAAGTAGGAGAACCACCACCGCCCAATGATCATCATTCCCGATTAACTTCGCCTTTTTAGGGGCACCCTCTATTTCCAGAGACGCTCATTTGGTCACCAATGGGCCCACCGATTAGGCTGGGCTAGCTAGTATCGGAGCTGCAGCGGGGAATTGTTTTTGTGACAAGAAATGCACTCTCTCTACTGACCCGGGCCTCATACCAGGACACCTAAAACAATTCTCACAAGGCTGTCCAAAGGAGGACTTTTAAGAGGATCTTAAACAAGACCTTCATACAAGAACCTCCTGAGAGCATCCCGGAAGAGCCTTCAAGAAGCACCTCTAATACAGATCATCTCACAGCATTTCACTGGGATCCCCACTATAGATCTTCTCACAAGAACCTGTACAAGATCACGCAAGGACCTCTAAAAAGTTTTCACCGTGATCTTCACAACTTCTCACAAGGACCTCTACAGCGGCGTGCCCCTAAGTTATGGCAGCTTATACCTTAGTTAAAGAATGTATAGCTTAGTTGCCATGATTTATTTTGAAGTTATTTTTGGAAGTTATAATGTAACTTAAGGAGATTTAAGACTAATTTATAACTTGTAATAACTTATGTCTATATTTTTTTAGATGTTTTTGGTGTTTTTGAATTTTGTGTTAAAGTTTTTTAAAGTTTCTGTGATCCAAAAAGCTTCTTTTATTGTTTTTTCCAGTGGTTTGCGGAATTGGGCATCAAAAAAGCATGTAACTATGTTGCATTGATTTGCATAGAGTAATCTTATCTGGTTTTTGTCAGGATACGGCTATATACGTTTGTTTTGGAAAATTAAATATATGTTTGCATTGACGAATGACCGTCAAATATTGTTTGACTATACGAAAGAGCGATGGTTGTCTGGGACTGTTGTGGTTTATTATAGGAAAGACGGATGACCGTCTTGGACGTGTCATGATGGGGGAATGACAGATCACCGTCTGCGAAGCAGTCAGTATACTGTTTTCAATGCATTGAAGGATCGATCAAAGCAAGCAAATTAGTTAGAATGTGAGCTTCTTTCAGCCACCAGCACGGCACGAAGCTAGCACGAAGCAAAGACACATCGATCACATGCCATTCTGCTGTGTATTGGAAACGTTTGGACCAAGGAATGTCAAGCCTCACAGCGTGAAGCTGTTCGTAGATCAAGTACATCTTGCGAAGCGAAAAAGTGAACTACTCCAGCTTGTTCACCCCAAATTAATGGCATGTCAGGTTTCAAAATCAGGCTTTAGAGCCGATAGCTTTTGCTGCTTCGAGCCTGAAAGCCTGGGCAGGCTGCAACTACCTGTTCTTCAGAGTATACTGCAGGAAGTAAGCAGTTCGTCCAAGGTTCTTGAGATAAGTCTTCCGTGTTTTGCAGCACCAGCAGCTTGAAGGTCAGGAAGTTGCTCCAACTGCTCAGTCGTTTTTGTCGGAGCAGCTGATGATGGCACCTGAAAGACGATTAGATGTATAGATGTCCCCTTCAAAGAAAAAAACGGTTGGACTGAAGCCAAGGTACCTGGAGATCTTCATCGGTTGAGACTGGAGCTGGAGCTGCGACAGCACTATCAGGTGGAGGTGCAGACTGTCTAGCAACTCCCGAAGGTGCCAAGGTCGAAGGCTGTGAAACTCTATGTTGATAGGTTGCGTCGGTGCCAATGCTGAACTTGAGGAAGCAGCATCTTTCAAAGACAGCTGCCCAGGCACGGTTCTAGCATCCCGACGCAAAAAATTCACCAAGGCCGCCGGAGCCCTGAGGCTGCAAGTACTGCAAGTTGACGTTCTCTGTTTGTACATGCTGAGCTTTCTGCATCATCTGCGCCAGACCAAGTCCAAGCAGGCCTGACAAAGCATTCAAAGAATGCGGTGCATCAGCACCATTGCTGCCTTTCATCGATGTTTTCCCGGCCTTGTCGCGAGGACGCAGTGGTATCATCCGGGCCACCATCAGCACTTCTAATCACTTCTAACAGCTTCACACCGGGTGGAGTGTTGAACCTGACGATGTCTTGCAAATGCTCCGGTAACTTGGAAGGATCCAGCGGCAATTTCTTCACATACTTGTCCTCGGGAACCTTCACAAACTTGTGGCGAGCGAGCACAGAAGACACTTGTGCCTTCGTAGTCGCCAGCAAGACATCTGGTGCAAGAAGCGCCCTCTGCCGACTCTCTTCAGAATCGCGCCTGATGGTGAAGGCAGCTAGGCAAGCCGAAGTCGGTTCAGAAGGGCACTGCAAGAGAAACTTCTCAGCCAACCAATTCACAACAATTTCGAGAAGTTGAAGAGAATCCATGCCGCTCTTGTACATCTGCCAAATGGACTCATTGAGGTAGAGAGCAAAGGCAGTGAAGTCTTGCATCGGCTGCCGTTTCTTTGGTTCCTTCTGAGTTGAACTCTCATTCACCAGTGCTTGCACCCGGGCCATCTCGTCTGCGTCCAGCATGGTCAGCTCGAGCTCGGAAACTGCAGCTGCCCGTCCGTCAGCAGCCATGGCCTTTTTTTTTTGGATCCTACAGCGCTAGCCGCCACTGCGGTCGCAGTGTATAATTCCGCAAACCATCAGACCCCTTTACAGTGCCATGCACGAAGGACGGATAACCGTCCATTGACACGAGTTATACCGTGGTAATCATAGATTTTGGCTTTCTCAAATATATATCATAGCAACCATCCACTTGACATGACCGTGAGACGGATGACTGTCTGCTGGGGACGGATGATCAAAGCATTTGAAGGAGACGACGGATGACCGTCTTCCTGGAACGGATTACCGTAGGAAGGTACATGAAGTTACACTTTGATGAAATGCACCTCAGTTGTTTCATCTGACGGATCACCGTCGTCAAGACAGTTTTTTTGGTCGCCACGTTGCTTTGCTCTCTGTAAGCATCTGTGAGACATTCATTTTGCATTCTACATCAATTCCTTCCCACCATGTGAAGCTGGCTTCTCAGTGGAGCTCGATGCATCACATTGGTTCTCTACATGGATAAAATTGCGGATTACCGCAAATGAAGGCGCCGCAGTTCAATATCAGATTGCTCAACAGATGTGACATGGCTGATAGCCAAACAATGAAAAAATGGCGGATAACCGCCAAGTAAAGGTGTTTAAAAAATCGGATAACCACAAATCAAGAACTACAATTCGATATCACATTGCTCTTGAGATGTGACATGGTTGATCGCCGAACAATGAAAGAATGACGGATGACCGGCAAATAAAGTTGCAAAAAAAGCGGGCAACCGGTAATTAAGAACAACATTTCGATACCAAATTGCTCACGATGCACAACTGATAGCCAAGCAATGAAAACAATAGCGGATAACCGCCAAATAAAGTGGTAAATTTCGGATAACCGCCAATCAAAGTGCCAGCATTGAGTATTCAATTGCTCAGCCCGCACAAGTAAAACTGCTGCTTCGACAATGTGATATCGCAACAACTAACAAAATATATTATATCCTAAATATTTTGCACCAAGACAAAACAATAAAACGTGACACATCAATAAATACAAAATAGACTACTTCGAAAACCTAATGTTTTATCGTTTCTCTCTAAGGAACCTAACAAAACAGCCATTGAAAAAACAACTTGAATTCACCAAAAAAAAGTCGAACTAACTTCAAACAAGGTCTATGAGATGAAGTTAAAAATACTTACCTACATATAATATAATTTCGAAAACATCGTAAAAATAAGTAATAAATTCAAACCTAGTTATATCTACTTAAACTTAACCATAGTTATTTCCCGACTTAACACAAGACAAACCTAAAACATCTTTGCTTAAACCAAGATACAAGTTAACATAACTCTGGGGCACACTGCTGTAATAGACGTTGGTCATTGTCTTCAAGTAAGGACCTCTAAGAGCGCTCTATGAAATTCTCGCAAGATCGTTATAGAAAGGGCCTTCAAGAGGACGCGTAAAAATGATAAGATCCCTTTGCCAGGATCTTCGAAAATCGGCAAAAATAAGCACCACGACACAACAAGAGTGATCTCGACAGACACGTGCAAAGTGACAATAAGGCAGCGCAAGCACTGTCCAAATGAGCACCGCGCCGCATCGAGAGGGATCCGACACGCACAAAGTCATGAGATGATTGCGCGAGCGATTTCACAAGTTGCACTGCATGCACCACAACAAGACCGATCCGACGCGCAAAAGGGACGAAAAGGTTGCGCGAACACATGTTCGAATTTCACCAAATGAACATTTGAAAAGCGATCGTTCTTTAATGAGGTCTCAAAATACTGCATATGGACACCGTCGCAAAAAACCCTCGCTGAACCATTGCAAAAAACCCTTCTCCGTGGAGACTGTGGAAAAAAAACAGACTTTCTCGTAAGGCTGCTACTGTGTGAAAAAAACCATGTTACTGTCGCAAAAAAAAACCTCCCCTGCACCTGCCACGAAAAATATTGCGCCTGCAACGCGAAAGCATGGTGATGTCCCAAACCCAAACTGACAACAATGTCACAAACGTCGTCCAAATTCACCGGATGCTGCACCTGTGCCACGGAAAATGATCTCCGAATATCTCCGAAACCGAAACCACCTTTAATGTCAACTCAGCTGCGCCAACGTTGTAGCAATGCATGGAAAATAGCATGCCTGCCACGCCTACATGACACAGTGTCTGATGTCCTGCGCTGTGACGCAAAAATGGTTCCAGATTTCAAACTGTCCCGGAAATCCAACTCCTGCCAGGAAAAATGCACAGCTCAAAAAAAAACCCAGCACGCCAGTAAAAGTAGACTTTAGGATTCGGAAGAAACAAAAGTGCGACCCACACTTTGCGTGCAGTCGAAATGCACATGGACATCTCACAAGGGAATTTTTGCGCAAGCAGGCGCAGACAAAACCCAGGGGCCAGAAGGAGCACCTGAACGAAACTGGGCTTTACTCTTACCGTAAGACTCCCTCAGTGTGGACAGACTGTTTAGGGAACAAAATGCATGGCACAGCAAACGTGCAATTTGTTTTGGTACTTCTACATTGCCATCAAAAGCTTTCCGGATTTTTTTCTGGATAAATTTAGAAATAGTTCGCAAGTGTCACATGTTGTCACTGGAACCTGTGAACAGCACGGCCATTTTGGGGTAGCTGCCGCAATCCCGACCATCATCTATTGGTCCTTATAAATTAACAAGCTTTGCTGCCTAACCCACCATGTTGATGGCACAATGCAACCCCGATACACTACCTCCATTTTTTGAAGATTTATAACCTGGGACGGTATCACCACAACCGCTTTCCACCAGCCCCCTGACCGTCTTCAACTTGGATCGCACAGTCTCCCACTCGGTGGGGCGCACTAAGCGCCGCAGGCTGGGCATGGAGGAATCGGAGCTTTGGGGCTGCCGTTGAAAGCTCAGATGGGCCTGTTCCACATCGAACCAATGCGTGGTTGCATCCACGCCTTGGTTGCTGAAGTATGTTGCAATTGCTCACATAACTTTTAGCGTTTTTGCCTCCGGTAACGCAACATGACAATTTGGGAAATGCAGGTTTTGGAATGAAAACAAGCCATATTTTTTGGATTTTAAATTCTCATCTTTGATAACAAGAGGGTAGTGGAAGTTAAGTACAAAGTAGGGTAAATCATGGCAAGTTTACAGATATAAGGTCAAAAACATGGTTGAAAAAATGAAAACTACAGCCAGGCACATAAGGTCATATCCACCAGCTCCGGGAAGCTCTGTAACAAGGATGTGCAAGATTTCTGGGACATGTAGGATGATTCTGAAGGCTCGCGGTCACCTTGATCACCTACACCATCACCCGAATCACTGGCGCTAGTGGAGGACGAACTGCACTGCCCCAGCGGCACACCACACTTTGCCATCTTGGCATTTGGGAGCGTTGCCCTTGCCTCGCTGTCCTCCCTCAATACCAACAAGTGCAGCATCCCATCTTTTCTACCGGGCATGAGAACATGCCAAAGATCCACTCCAACCCGAATGTCTGAAGCCCCACGCAGCGAGATTCGCAGACAAGGTGGGGTTTTGGTCCTCTCCTCTTCGGGCTTCCGCTCTTCAGCCATGGATTGCTTCAAAAACTCTTGGAAGCGACAAATTTCCTCCGGCACCAGCAACCGCTCAAAGTGCTTGCCTTGAAAATTGCCTTGTGTCATCAGCAGATGCTTCAAGCAGTCTGCATCTTCGCACACATGCATTTCTTCATTCAGCAACACCTCACCATCGCTCACTCCTCGCAGCATCCGCCGGAACGAGGACACCATGGATTCAGTGTCCAACAACACCGAGATGTGGGAGGTAACCCAATACTCAAGAACAGCTGAGAATCCAATGATCGAAAAGCAAACCAATGTTTGCATCCATGCAAACAAAATGGTGTCCGGTAACGGGTGCCGCATTGCATGCACACCAGTCTCGGCCAGTGAGAGTGCCAGCTGTGCAGGGGCTGCAGTCAAAGTGTCCATGAAAATGACTGACATGATCATTCGAGAACAAGCGTTAAAGCCCTGAATGATGCTTGCCCGGCGATCATCTTGACCCAGGTTAGCCAACACAAATAGCACAAAGGAGGCGTAAAACACTGTGTAAAATGTGCGTAAATTGGTGCCGTTCAGCTGCAACTTGTCTGTGCAAACCATGTGGTGTGAAACGTAGACGCATGACATGAAAATGAGCTGCACAAGCTGTGGCATGGAAGGGTCCACATACAGTGAATGCAGCATCCCAAGAACCCCCAAACCACCTAAGTGCACCATGAACTGGATAGAATGCTTGTATGTTCTGGCACGTACATCCCACAGAGCTGCTTCCACCTGGGTTTTCCTCTCTTCTTGCTCTTCCGACTTGCTGGTGTGTGGTGCAAAAGGTGACAAGCGTCTGGCAGATTCGACGCAAATTCGCTTCAAATCCCCACCTGCGTGTACATTTCTCGTCAGTGCATCCGCCGAAAAGGATAGAGAATTTATCGCTATCTTAGTAGGATTTCGCTTTATCTCTCTTTCTGGGGGTTGCCATAGTCGAAGAGTTACACAAACAAAAAAGGGAGCTGCGATTCAGAACTACTTTCGTGATCTTGTGGCGAACTGCTACTAACACTTGCCTCCATTGCTATAATCTATTACTGTTGGGTCATCTAACAGAAAAGGCTGATAAATCTTCACCTAGCCACCATGGGTCCTGGCATGAAATGTGGCGAAAATCGCGGCAGCCAAAAGCACAGCTGTACAGCTGGAATCCAACATCTGTGGTGCGCTGTCTGTGCAGCCACCGGTGGCCCGAGACGTCGGCGGGTACAACGAGACGGGCCAACACCGATGTGTGGTACAGCGCGTTGAGAAGTTTGAGCTGGATTCTGCGATTCAATAATCGCAATATACATCATTGGCCCCTTTTCGGTTCTCACAATAACAGCCACGACCACGACACGATCCATCACACTTTTTGCACAGACACCTGTATTGGCCTTCACTATCCACTGTTTGTGTAAAAGGGGACGTCTGGGTCATTGGAATAGAAATCATCCATCAAAAAGGCTGAATACAGAATAAAAGGACCGGATAACCCCACAAGTCAACTTCTTCCAATATTGAGCAAGAAATCTTGTTGCGGGGACGGGGAAGAAAGGAAAGACAAAGGAAGAGGTGGAGGAAAGATGGTGTGTGACAAAGTTGTCTGGGTGAAAGATGGTGTGTGACAAAGATGGTGTGGTGAAAGATGGTGTGTGACAAAGTTGTGTGTGAAAGAAGGTGTGTCAAAGATGGTGTGTGAAAGATGGTGTGTGACAAAGTGGTGTGTGAAAGATAGTGTGTGACAAAGTGGTGTGTGAAAGATGGTGTGTGGCAAAGGTGTGTGTGAAAGATGGTGTTGATGGTGTGTGAAAGATGGTGTGTGAAAGATGGTGTGAGAAAATGTGAAAGATGGTGTGTGACAAAGTGGTGTGTGAAAGATAGTGTGTGACAAAGTGGTTTGTGCAAGATGGTGTGTGACAAAGTTGTGTGTGAAAGATGGTGTGGGACAAAGTGGTGTGAAAGATGGTGTGTCAAAGTTGGTGTGTCAAGGATGGTGTCTGAAAGATGGTGTGAGACAAATTTGTGTGAGAAAGATAGTGTGTCAAAAATGATGTGGAGGCTCTGTGTACTGCGCCTGCCACGCGAAAGGCATCCGCGGCCCCAGCCTCGGCCACGCGCGCCGCAGCTCGTCCAGGAGGCTCTGTGTACTGCGCCTGCCACGCGAAAGGCAGCCGCGGCCCCAGCGGCGGCCACGCGCTCCGCATCTCCTCCAGGAGGCCCTGCGCCTGCCACGCGAAAGGCAGCCGCGGCCCCAGCCTCGGCCACGCGCACCGCAGCTCGTCCAGGAGGCTCTGTGTACTGCGCCCCAGCGGCGGCCACGCGCGCCGCAGCTCCTCCAGTGTACTGCGCCTGCCACGCCAAAGGCAGCCGCGGCCCCAGCGGCGGCCACGCGCGCCGCAGCTCGTCCAGGAGGCTCTGTGTACTGCGCCTGCCACGCCAAAGGCACCCGCGACCCCAGCGGCGGCCACGCGCGCCGCAGCTCGTCCATGCAGGAGGCTCTGTGTACTGCGCCTGCCACGCGAAAGGCAGCCGCGGCCCCAGCGGCGGCCACGCGCGCCGCAGCTCCGCCAGGAGGCTCTGTGTAGTGCGTCTGCCACGCAAAAGGCAAGCTCTCTGAGTGAGTGAGTGAGTGAGTGAGTGAGTGAGTGAGTGCGTGCGTGCGTGCGTGCGTGCGTGCGTGCGTGCGTGGGTGGGTGGGTGGGTGAGTGAGTGAGTGAGTTAAGATGAGTGAACGAATTATGAAGAATGAGTGAATATAGTGCAGATGAGTTCCGATTGCCGTGACGCCGCGCCGTGCCAGATCAGTGCCGCTGCGTTCCCTCTTGAGCGTGGTGCACGCTTCATGCAGCATGCGTGAAGATTAGTGAAGATGCGTGCGTGCGTGCGTGAAGTGAGTGCGTGCGTGGGTGGGTGGGTGGGTGGGTGGGTGGTTGGGTGAGTGAGTGAGCGAGCGAGCGAGCCAGTGAGTGAGTGAGATAAAGAGGAGGCGGCGGAGGCGAGGCGAAGGAGCGGAGCCCCGGCGGGATCCAAGCGAAAAACAAGAACCCCACACAGTGATGTGGGGAAAAGCACCGACCATGTAAGCCTTGTTAGCATTGTTCAGCCTTCGTAGATTTAATGCAAAAAACCCTGCGCCCATTTCTCACGAGGATTCGATTCACTTATTTGCACCAAAAATGAATATAGATCCAGCAATCAACCAAAGTTTTTGGGCATTTACAGTCTTTTGGGCAAAGGAATCGACGATACTCTCTAACACACAAAAGTCAGGCCTTTGGGATGGTTTCCCTCATGACCTAGCGGTCTTGATGCTTGATGAAATTGCGTTGAAGTCATGATGATTTGCCAGGAAACACACATGGTTTCACAGTTCTTGTAATTTTCCCGCGGAATTTGGCTTCAGCGCGCATTCTCCTGAGAGGATTATTAGGCTGCGCAGCATATCGACCACAAAGAGTGCCAGCCCCGCACCAGTCCCACCCGCACCGGCTCCCATCGGACATCCAATTTTCAACGCCAGCTGTGCTTATTCGTTGATGGCTGCCAAGTTCCAATCCCTGGAAGCCTTGTCCTCGAACACCATTTCGCTGAGTTGCAAACAAAGCTTGGTACCATCCTAGGTAGCTTGTTTATTCCCCGCTTTCAAGCATAGGACCGGATAACCCCACATGTCAACTTCTTCCGGGAAGAACCGAACAAGTGCAAAAGGCAGGAAAGAGGCGAGGAAGGAGGCAGTGGAGGACGGATCGACATAGTATACATTAAAGAGTAAACATGGCATCAATCATGTTTGACAAAATTGTGTGGGACAGAGTTGTGCGTGAAAAGGTTGTATTTGACAAGGTTATGTGTGACAGAATTGCATGCAAGAACATTGGCGGGGCATGCGGGCGAAAGAGGAGGCGTGAGTAACAGAGCTGTGTGTGTGTGTGTGACCAAGCTTATTTTTGTATGTCACAGTAAAACATCTGAACAAATGTAAAACTTCTACTCCAGTGGTTTTCTCACTAGCAGGGGGGTGCAGAGCACAGTGGAGACTGCACCCAACGAAGCTATCAACTTTGTGCTGGAAGCAGAGTCTGATCAACTCGGTGTCCCTTATGTTTTTTATCTCCGATATGGCGAGGGGCTAAGCCAAGAACCTTGACCTGACGTTTCAGTTGATAGTTTGGCATGTTTGCCGCAATCCGGTCTTTGATTCTAATCATTCTTTTCTGAATCTTTCTGAACGTGGCGATGCTTGATCTCAACCTGGTTGATATTTCCTTATCTGGGGCTTTGTGGACAAGTTTCTGTTCGCGATCTGGATTATCGGACCTTCATCTGAAAGATTGGATGCTACCTCATGAATGACTCCTGAGGCTCGCATATCATTTCTGGTTAAATGTTAAAGGGATTCAGTTCACATCGGATCACTTCAATGTTCTTGTCTAGTGTGATCTCCATGGTTGTTCCAACATGGTGCCGCGGACCCATTTTGAGGGATCTGAATTAACGCAATTTAATCTGGTAATGCGCTTATGTAAAGTGAAACGGTCGGCCATTCCGTTCACCACCATTTTGCGACTTCTCGCCGCTCCCGCTGTCTTTGAGAACCTTTGGGCAATTTTCCAGACGGACGGAACAGTCACACACATTCTTATTTGGCCACAGTGATACAGAAGACTGCATTTAGCTGGCTGTATACATATTTCGAGGCATCAGGCATGTCCTCTTTCTTCAGGTTTGGTTTCTTTGGTATCTGGTGAGGTTGACAGATTGTGCACCCAATTCGTGAAGATTTGAACAGCCGTTTTTTGCCCTTTTGGGTGGATCGACTTCTTTCCCTTCGAGGGAGAAACGCACGACCTTGCATTCAGGAACTGAATCCCTTGTAATTTTGTTGCTTCGTTCGTTTTCATAGGTTGGTTCAGGCGCTTACGTCCTCCCCTCCTTCGCTGGTCTTGTTCCGTTTCCGCTCCCGTCTGCCTCTGTTTTCTCTTCCCTTGCCCTTTCAGGGTTTGCCCGCTTCGGGCCAGGTGTGTTGGTGTTGGTGTTTGCTCCCTCCCTCTTCTTTTGCGTTCTACTCCTCGTGTCCCAGTTAAGTAATTTTTCATCTCATCTTCAGTTTGATCTCATTTTCATTCCTTTTTTCATCCTCATGTTCATCTCATTCGCCCGGACCTTAATTGTCCCACCCTCCTTTGGGAGGGTGTGTGTGTGAAATATCTGAACAGATGTAAAACTTCTACTTCAATGATTTTCTCACTGGCAGGGCGGTGCAGAGCACAGTGGAGACTGCACCCAATGAAGCTATCAACTTTGTGCTGGAATCAGAGTCTGATCAACTCGGTGTCCCTTATGTTTTTTATCTCCGATATGGCGAGGGGCTAAGCCAAGAACCCTGACCTGACGTTTCAGTTGATAGTTTGGCATGTTTGCCGCAATCCGGTCTTTGATTCTAATTATTCCTTTCTGAATCTTTCTGAACTTGGCGATGCTTGATCTCAACCTGGTTGATATTTCCTTATTTGGGGCTTTGTGGACAAGTTTCTGTTCGAGATTTGGATTATCGGACCTTCATCTGAAAGATTGGATGCTACCTCATGAATGACTCCTGAGGCTCGCATATCATTTCTAGTTAAATGTTAAAGGGATTCAGTTCACATCGGATCACTTCAATGATCCAGTTCTTGTCTAGCGGTGTGTGCGACAAGGGTTTGTCTGTGACAATGTTGCGTGCGCCAGAGCTCTTTGTGATCATGCTTGACAGGGTTTGACACCACGCAATCCCAGAAGTAATAAGCGGGATAGCAAAGGTGGCTCGTCATCCGGGTTCGACGAATTTCCATATATATATATATTTATTCATTTATTTTTTTTTTAAATATGCTCTCAATGGTTTTACAAATCCGCCATCTCGCAAAAGAAGCACTGCATGGTATGCTATGGTTTTAAAGCACGCCAGCAAAGCACAAGAACTGGTTGGCCTCCCTTTGCCCTTGCCTGGTGGCCACTTCGGGGAGCGATGCAGATAGGTCCGAAATGCATCACTTTGGTCAAGGGATGTCCCACAAACCCGGCGTTATAGACAACACACCATGACAGGAGGAGTGGGATGGCTAAAGTTGCCCCGCCGTGACGGTGAGAATAGTTGCTTGAGCTTTTTTTATTGCCAAGGCAACTAATCTGATCACCAGGGGAGTGACCAGACAATGCATTTGGCAGATCATCACGTGGCAAGTTCCAGACCCAGATGCACAAACCTGGCAGTGGCAGCACTAAATGTATGCATCGCAGTTGTTTGTCCACCTCATAAATCTGCACGGCTCATCAAAGCAACTGCTGGAGCTTGTTTCCCAGCAAGTGACAAACCCACCATGTTCCCAAAGCAACCAAATTCAACAAATAAATGCAACCGCGTGTATACCCTGTCCATGATCATACAAATCTGCCCATCTTGTGCCCACTGAGATCTGGAGCTGGCGGTTGAGGTCTGGCAGTGCCCACTGAGATCTGAAGCTTGCGGTTCAGGTCTGGCAGTGCCCACTGAGATCTGGAGCTTGCAGTTGAGGCCCAGCGGGCTGAGATCTGGAGCTTGTGGAGCTCTGGAGCGTGGTTGAGGTCTGGCAGTGCCCACTGAGATCTGGAGCTTGCCCACTGCCGCTCTGGAGCTCACGGTTGGGGTCTGGTGCCCGCTGAGATCTTGAAGCGGAGGAGGCGGAGGAGGACAAGGCGGAGGCAAAACATATCAAACAGGACACTTGTTATTAACATATCTTTGGCATCTGAATCTGCCCAGCATCTTCATGGCCCCGGGGCGGTCTGTACGTGGACACTTGTCCATGCGCCACCATAGATCGCTTGGCGTCATCCACCAGGTGTAGCCGAAGCTCGGCCCCTGCGGACGCGTTCACCTGCGCTAGCCCGGGCATGGTGTGATTCGTGGGAAATTCATCGGAAAATAATGGGAAAATTCAACATTTTGGCTCCAAATGGGCCCATATATAAAGGGAAATTCTGGGATATTGATGGATACCGGGATTGTCGAGGCGAGGCGGCAACCCTCAGTTATGGCTGTTGGTTTAGTTCACCCATCCAATGAATTTGATACACCCTATGTATTCCCATACCAGTAGTACCACACAAGGCGGTGGCGGAAGTTCCAAAAATAGGAAACCGATAGGAAAGGTTGGTTGTTGTGACTCACGGATGGCAGAGCGAATCCACTAATGGACCGAAAGGTGGCTGGAGTTGTGTTTTCTGGAGTGGTTGGAATGGTTGCAGTGGTCACCTCACCACAACTGCTGGATGCAGTGTGGTGTAGTGAGTGTAATTGTAGTTGTAGGTGCACGTGTAGTTGTAGCTGTAGTGTAATGTAATGTAATAAGTGTAGTGTAGTGTTGTGTACTGTAGTGTAGTAGTTGTATTTGCATTTGTAGCTGTAATTTACTGCAGTTTAATTAGTGTATTGTAGTGATAATGTAGTGTAGCTGTAATTGTAGCTGTAGCTGTGGTGGTGGTGGTAGTGGTCTTCGTAGTAGTAGTAGTGGTAGTAGTAGTAGAAGTAGTAGAAGTAGTAGAAGTAGTAGAAGTAGTAGAAGTAGTAGAAGTAGTAGAAGCAGTAGAAGCAGTAGAAGTAGAAGAAGTAGAAGTAGAAGTAGTACTAGTAGTAGTAGTAGTAGTAGTAGTAGTAGTAGTAGTAGTAAGTAGTAATTAGTAGTAGTAGTAGTAATTACTAAGTAGTAGTAGTAGTAGTAGTAATTAGTAGTAGTAATTAGTAGTAGTAATTAGTAGTAGTAGTAGTAGTAGTAATTAGTAGTAGTAGTAATTAGTAGTAGTAGTAGTAGTAGTAGTAGTAGTACTAGTAGTAGTAGTAGTAGTAGTAGTAGTAGTAATTAGTAGTAGTAATTAGTAGTAGTAATTAGTAGTAGTAATTAGTAGTAGTAATTAGTAGTAGTAATTAGTAGTAGTAATTAGTAGTAGTAATTAGTAGTAGTAATTAGTAGTAGTAATTAGTAGTAGTAATTAGTAGTAGTAATTAGTAGTAGTACCGCACAAGGCGGTGGCGGAAGTTTCAAACATAGGAAACCTATAGGAGAGGTTGGTTGTTGTGAATCGGGGATGGCAGAGGGAAGGCACTGATGGACTGAAAGGTGATTGATCTGTCTCACTCCCTCCCTCTCTCTCTCTCTCTTTTGCTCTCTTTCTCTGACTATCAACCTACCTACCTACCGATCTATCTATCTATTTATCTATCTATCTACCTATCTATCTATCTCGTTTTCTAGCTACCAAACTAGCTATCTATCTCTCTATCTATCATCTGTCTCAACTATTTCATGCATCTATCTAATCTATCTATCTATCTATCCATCCATCCATCTATCTATTTATCTATCTATCTGCCACGCGAAACGACATCTCAACTTCCAAAAGCGGTCCGAACGTGGTTTGTTTTGTACATTTTGACTTCGAAAATGTGCTTCGCACCACAACGGCGTGCATTTTTTCGACATCTCAACTTCCAAAAGCGGTCCGAACGTCGTTTGCTTTGTACATTTTGACTTCGAAAATGTGCTTCGCGCCACAACGGCGTGCATTTTTTCGACATCACCACTTCCAAAAGCGGTCCGAACGTGGTGTGTTTTGTACATTTTGACTTCAAAATGTGCTTCACGCCACAACGGCGTGCGCATTTTTGACATCTCAACTTTCAAAATTGGTCCGAGCATGGTGTGCTTTGTGCATTTTGACTTGGAAATGTGCTTCGCGCCACAACGGCGTGCACTTTTTCGACATCCTAACTTCCAAAAGTGGTCCGACGTTGGTGTGCTTTGTACATTTTGACTTGGAAATGTGCTTCGCGCCACAAGCAACTTTTCATCTCTCATCTGAGCACATGGCTCCGCACCCGCCGCTTTAGCGAGCCTACTCTTCGACCCTCCGGAGCCACAAATCCTTGGAAAAACACAGCGTTTCGCGACATTCCTACCTTTTCGCGCACCTGGATCTTCTTTCTTCTGACTCTTTCTCTTCTCCGATCTTCTCTCTTCGACTCTTCTCTTCTCTGACTCTTCCCATATCTGCTTTTCATCTGCATCTATGGAATTCTATGGACCGTTATGATTCACATATCCAGATGCGTCAATCATCCCATTTGTCGTTGCTTAACCCACCATCTTTATGATTTTCATGGGACTACGTTATACCGATACCTCCATTTGTGGAGAGTTGTATGCGCACCAAAAAAAACAAAGCTTTACCATCTTACGCCAATACCTCCCAAATTTTGAGATTTTGATGTGGCACAATAAACACCACCAGCTTTCCACCCCCAATCCCTGACCGTCTTCAACTTGGATCGCACGGTCTCCCAATCCGTGGGTCGCACCAAGCGCCGCAGACTGGGCATGGAGGAATCAGAACTCTGGGGCTGCCGTTGAAAGCTCAGATGGGCCTGTTCCACATCAAACCAATGCGTGGTTGCATCCACACCTTTGTGTGGCGTTGACGTATGTTGAAATTGATCAAAAATGAAGTTTGTAACTCTTCCGGTCATCAAACATGGCTATTGCTGCAGCCCTCGATGCAGGTTCTAGTGTGAAAATCGTCCATAAATGGTGGATTTTCCATTTCCATCTCTGTTTTTCCAGAAGGTATAGTGGAGGTTAGCTAGGGTAAATCTATCGCTCCAAGGCCAAAAACAGCAAAAAACACTAGTAAACTGCAAGTGTATTGCTATAACCCATCCAGACACATAAGGTCATATCCACCTGCTCGGGGAAGTTCTGCAACAATGATGTGCAAGATTTCTGCGACATGTAGGATGATTCTGAAGGCTCGCGATCACCCTGATCACCTCCATCACCCGAATCACTGGCGCCAGTGGAGAATGAACTGGTATGCCCCAGAGGCACACGACATTTCGCCATGGCATTTGGGAGCGTTGCCCTTGCTTCGCTGTCCTCCCTCGGGCATCAGAACATGCCAAAGATCCACTCCAACCCGAATGTCTGAAGCCCCACGCAGCGAGATTCGCAGACAAGGTGGGGTTTTGGTCCTCTCCTCTTCGGGCTTCCGCTCTTCAGCCATGGATTGCTTCAAAAACTCTTGGAAGCGACAAATTTCCTCCGGCACCAGCAACCGCTCAAAGTGCTTGCCTTGAAAATTGCCTTGTGTCATCAGCAGATGCTTCAAGCAGTCTGCATCTTCGCACACATGCATTTCTTCATTCAGCAACACCTCACCATCGCTCACTCCTCGCAGCATCCGCCGGAACGAGGACACCATGGATTCAGTGTCCAACAACACCGAGATGTGGGAGGTGACCCAATACTCAAGAACAGCTGAGAATCCAATGATCGAAAAGCAAACCAATGTTTGCATCCATGCAAACAAAATGGTGTCCGGTAACGGGTGCCGCATTGCATGCACACCAGTCTCGGCCAGTGAGAGTGCCAGCTGTGCAGGAGCTGCAGTCAAAGTGTCCATGAAAATGACTGACATGATCATTCGAGAACAAGCGTTAAAGCCCTGAATGATGCTTGCCCGACGATCATCTTCACCCAGGTTGGCCAAGACAAATAGCACAAAGGAGGCATAAAACAACGTGTAAAATCTCCGCAAATTGGTGCCATTCAGCTGTAACTTGTCTGTGCAAACCAAGTGGTGTGAAACGTAGACGCATGACATGAAAATGAACTGCGCAAGCTGTGGCATGGAAGGGTTCACATACAGTGAATGCAGCATTCCAAGAAGCGCCAAGGCAACTAAGTGCACCATAAACCGAACAGAATGTTTGTATATTCTGGCACGTACATCCCACAGAGCTGCTTCCACCTGGGTTTTCCTCTCTTCTTGCTCTTCCAATTTGCTGGTGTGTGGTGCAAAAGGTGACAAGCGTCTGGCAGATTCGACGCAAATTCGCTTCAAATCCCCACCTTCGTGGCGCGTCGTGCAGGTGCAACCCAACATTTCTCGGTCAACTTTTGCATCCTTATCCACCAGGGGTATAGTAATCTAGAAGTTGAAAATAACAACTACACAAAACGAGTTGCGATTCAAACATATTCCAAGCACATCCCCCCATGTTTTATCATCTATCATTTCAGGGTCACCCAAAAAAGGGAAGGTTGGTGAACCTCTACCCAGCCACCATGATTCCTGGCATGAAGTGTGGCGAAAATCACCGCAGCCGAGAGCACAGCTGCACAGCTGGAATCCAACATCTGCGTTGCGCTGTCTGTGCAGCCACCGGTGGACCGAGACGTGGGGGGTAAAAACGACCAAGGGTCAACACCGATGCGTGGTACAGCGCGTTGAGCAGTTTGAGCCGGATTCTGTGCCCAATGATGCCCAATGATGCCCAATGATCGACATATAATAGCAGTTTGATAAAAAATAAAAATAAATTGTGAAACATCCAAATGCCATGATAGTGGTTGTTGTCCTCTTTGGGTTCTAACAGTCACGACCACGACACGATCCATCACGCTTTTCGCACAGGTTGGCCTTCGCTATTCACCGTTGGTGTAAAGGGTAAACTCTTGGTCAATGGAATCATTAGGGACCATCATCCGTAAAATACTGTTGAAAGTAGAAAACACCGACGATGCTTGCCATAAAGTTTGCTCAAGTAACATTGATTGAACAATTAAAAATGTTAAACCCATTTTATCCAAGCTTTGAGCTGCCAAAGAATTCGGCACGCGAGCCGTTGATCTAATACTTCACTCTTCACGAATTCTAACCTGGCTGGTGGTTTCAACAACCCTGAAGCATATGAATGTCATTGGGGATCATCATCCCAAATATCATCGAAAAAGGTCCGAAATAACAGAATCATTCGAAACCACCAACCAGTTTCATTGGTTCATATACCGTTTTATCAATGTTTTATCCCCATTTGGTGGTGCATTTCCCATTTAACATCTGGTGATCTAACAGTTTGCTATGGGCAATCATCGAACTCGAAAGGCCATTTCCCAGAGCAAACCATCAAATCACCAGAAGGTAGATAGTTGCGCAGACAATATTTTTTTGTTCTAATGAAGAGATATTCTAAACAAATAAATAGTAAACGAATAAATAAATGTATGTATATAAATATAAAATTATATATACACCTGGGTTATAATATGTTAATTCTCCATTCATGGCTGGTAAACGACCAACTGATCATGTCTTTAACCATCATCTTGGATTTACTTAATGAACCCAACAAAAAAAACATGTATTTCCTCAATCGATTCCCCAGTCGTAGTGGGTTTGCCGGTAATCATAATGATTCAACATTAAACTATCATATATTATCATTAATCCTTAATCCACTATTAACCACCATCAACCACTATCAACGGTCATCAACTATATTATTAACAAATTAAAACCATCAACCGTTAAACAATGATAATTCATTTTTCTTACCAACCATGAATATCCAATTGACATCAACTACAGTATCAATCATTAATCGTGATTAATAGCGATCAACCATATATCAACCACATATATATAAATATAATAATTATAAAATATATATATATATACATATTTATTTATTTACCATGTAGCAACGACTGTTAAACACATATCAAACATTATTAACCATTATTACAGTAACCCTGAATCACAACTATTGACATCTATCAGCTGGTCCAGGTGCTGATCGTGGCTGGCCCAATCCCAGCGTTCACGTCGCACGCGACCATCTTCCAACTCGGGGACCTTCACCTGGAAAGGGTGTCTGAAAGTGTGACACCTCCAAAAAACGGGGGTCTCCCGGGGTTAAACAGGGTTAATGGCTGTTTAATGGGTATTTCAAGGTGTTTAATGTTGATTAATGATGGCTTAAATTATTTGTGTTTTCTCATGATTTAATGTAGAAATATTTGTGATTTGAACGTGTTTATGGTGGTTTAATGGTGTTTAATGGTGATTAATGATGGCTTAAATTATTTGTGACTTCTCATGATTTAATGTGGAAATATTTGTGATTTGAACGTGTTTTATGCTGTTTAATGGTGGTTTAATGGTGTTTAATGGTGATTAAATTAATCATGGCTTAAATTATTTGTGATTTCTCATGATTTAATGTGAACATATTTGTGATTTGAACGTGTTTAATGCTGTTTCCTGGTGGTTTAATGGTGTTTAATGGTGATAAATGATGGCTTAAATTATTTGTGACTTCTCATGATTTAATGTGAACATATTTGTGATTTGAACGTGTTTAATGCTGTTTAATGGTGGTTTAACGGTGTTTAATGGTGATTAATCATGGCTTAAATTATTTGTGATTTCTCATGATTTAATGTGAACATATTTGTGATTTGAACGTGTTTAATGCTGTTTAATGGTGGTTTAATGATGTTTAATGGTGAGTAATGATGGCTTAAAATATTTGTTTTGAACGTGTTTAATGCTGTTTAATGGTGGTTTAATGATGCTTAATGGTGACTCAATTGTGTTTAATGATGGGTTTATCAAATGGGAACTTATTTGACATATTTGTGATTCAATGGTGTTTAATAGAGGATTAATGGTGTTTAATGGTGCTTAATCGATATTTACTAGTTTCATGGGGTTTAATGGCATTAATTAATATGGTTGTTTCCTGACATGGGGGTCTCTCTATGATTTCATAGGATATCTGGCAGATATCTGGTTGGTGGTTACCTACCCCTCTGAAAAATATGAGTTCGTCAGTTGGGATGATGACATTCCCAATATATGGAAAAATAAAAAATGTTCCAAACCACCAACCAAATATGATATGTGTATTTTTTGGTACTTTTTGGATGATTTATGGATTTGCCTTAGAGGATTGATGAGATATTTCAGGGACTTCATTGGGAAGTGTTCCTTCAAAATGGTGGGATTTCACAATCAAAAACGGCACACATTTGCGATACAACTTATAACACGTCCAAAACAGGGATTTGACCAATGCAGATTGGAAGTTAGTTCATATATGATATGATGGTTTCTGAAAATCGGAGGCTTCAAAAAACAACCAGATTAGTCATTTTTGTTGCTTTTCTTTAGCCAGGAATCCCGTGTTAATGGTATACCAGTATTCCAAGGCTGGCCCAAATATCCCAGACTTTAGGTGAAAGCTTGAAGTCGCTGACTTTGTTCCTAAAGGTTTCAGGAAAAAACTGGAACCACCATATATCTTTGACGCGTGTTTTTTCGATGTGAGTATACCATGTGTTCCTTTCGACATTGCCTTGGATCCAATGAAATAAATCTGACAACACGAAACAAAAATATATTTCAAGACACCAATCAGTCCAATTCCTTGCAAAAAAAACATGGGAAATCATAAGAACTATATATAACATGAAACCACTCTTCCTACCAAACCTCAACAGGAAAATCTGGAAATGGCCACCCCAGGGGACCTCAACGTGTCCGGATGCATGCACCACGGTCCGTGGCCACAGCGCGAAGAGTGCAGAAGCCGTAGGCCCGCGGACGTATCTGCAGGGTCCGCGGCTGATCATCGATCCCAGAGGAGGAATATGTAAATTACGGGGTGCTCACTTAGGAAGGCAGCAAAAATTAAGGAAAAATTGCGCATTGTTTTTCCTGGGTCTATAGTATAGGCTGTTTGGTGGTGGAATGGACATGAACAAATGTAGATAAATGTACTGTAATTGTTTTGGGCTGAAAATCATGGACCACCGTCAGAGCAGCAGCATGTCATTCGTGGGCTTGGCGCTTGTTGATTCACACTTCTTGCACAAACTAATGGGATGTACCCACCCAAAAACTAGAAATCCAAAAGTGTTCCAAACTTGGCTGAAGGAAGATCGGCGGGAAAACTTCTTTTTTACCAACAAATTACTTTACTTCGTGTGATCCCCACCATGACATTCATACATTTTCTTACTGGCAAACCTTCTGGCATTCTATCTGACATATCTTCTGGCATTCTATCTGGCATTCTATCTGGCATATCTTCTGGCATATGTTCTGGCATGTCTTCTGGCATTCTATCTTGCAAATCTTCTGGCATTCTATCTGGCATATCTTCTGGCATTCTATCTGACATTTTATCTAGCATTCTCTCTGGCATACCTTCTGGCATTCTATCTGGCATATCTTCTGGCATTCTATCTGACCTATCTTCTAACACTCTATCTGGCATATCTTCTGGCATTCTATCTGGCCGTTGAGGCCCAGCGGTGCACACTGAGCCTCCCAGGTTGAGGTCCAGCCATGCACACTGAGCTCGGAAGGTCCCAGGTTGAGGTCCAGCGGTGCACATTGAGCTGGGAATGTCCCAGGTTGAGGTCCAGCGGTGCACACTGAGCTGGGAACGTCCCAGGTTGAGGTCCAGCGGTGCACACTGAGCTCGGAAGGTCCCAGGTTGAGGTCCAGCGGTGCACATTGCGCTGGGAATGTCCTAGGTTGAGCTGGGAAGTTGGCAAAGAACTTGGCGAAGAGTTGGCAAGGCGGAAGTTGAGGTGGAAGTTGATGCAGACATGGTCGAGGAGAAACTGGCGGAGGAGGCGGAGGAGGAGGAGGAGGAAGAGGAGAGCTAGTCGAGGAGGAAGAGAACAGCTCTGATAAAATCTAACAACCCTCACCTGGCAGGTGGGGAAAAACGCTAGTCCGTCCCACACACACACACAAGGGTTTCACTCTCGCATCTGCACCTCCAATAACAGCTGCTTCCACAGCAACTGCGCCAGAGCTGCCACATCGCGGCTGCCTGCAACGAGTTGCCCTGTCAGTGCCCACTTGACATCCGCAAGCCATGGTGAAAACATAGAAGTTGCAACAAACAATTATTCAAATACAGGATGGGGCCCCCAAGATAGCTAAGTTGGTTTATAAGTGGCTTAACAATGGTTTATGGTAGATATAACTATAGTTAATGGGGATTATAAGGGTTTATAACTGTGGGGCCCCATCCTGTAGGATAATTGCAAGTTTTCTTCCCATTTCTACATAGATGGGCCCCCGCGCCTTGTCCATGATTTCGCGCAGCGGCTCATCGGGTGTCTCGGAGGTGCGAAGGGCTGAGTGCCTGTTTTTGGGGCGTAGTTTGACCAGGGAAAAATCATGGGTTTAACGATTTAACATGATTTAACCATGGAAAATGTTGGCTTCTTGATGGCGACGTGGTGAAAGCACGCCTTTTCCGTCTTGGCAAGTCTGCCTGGTACCTCGCGTCTACGTGAATTTCAACATCGCTTTTCGGGATGCTTTTCATAGTTTCTGAACACTTTCTGCAGCTAAGTTCTCCCACCAAGTTATCCTGCTGCTACCAGTTGCAAAGCCAGTGAGAAGGGGACTCGGCACAATAGTTTATCACTCCCACCGGCTCCCACCTATGAGCTGGATCATGAGGGTTGCGTAATATTTTGTGGGTATTGGATGCAATTGAGGGATCAATGGGGTGCCATGGTTCCGAATTTGGGCTAATGCTTGTACCTCTGCCCTCCGTCCAAAGGCCAATTAAAAAAAAGGCAGACGCAAATACGATAGATACCCAGGAAACCAGCAATAAATGTGGATTGCAATCATATCAGCAGCAAATTCGCTTCACAAACACATGACCCCACGTCACCTGGGGAACCACGACAGACCAGTCTCCAGCGTCTCCAGCCTCGCCACAAGTCTGTCCACTGCACGCTGCATGGCAGGTACATCTAAATGTCGGCCGGCCTCATAGCCTGGGCATCTCGGCATCGGATATCGGTGGCCCCGGTGGATGACGGGAGAACAAGAGTCCAGTCAACCAAGAAAGGCAATGGCTGAAACATAAAAAAACGTTAACATATCTGTGAAATTCTATGATTAACAAAATTTAACAAAAACATCAAAAGGCAATGTGGGGGAACAAAGCGATCAAGATCCCTTGGATCATCGCAGATTGGAAGAAAAATGCTGCATTGCAATGATTTGACTTAGAATAAATCAAACATTATTCAAACAATACATTTTTGCGGATGTTTTCTTTGGATCAAGAGCGTTCTTGTGATCTTTTTGAAACTAGAACCACTTAGTGTATGGGATTGTCGGGTCGCTTCTCTGGAACGAGCGGCCCGTTTTGAATAACCAAACGCTACATGAAGAAACACTCAGAATGGGGGAATGTGGCCCAACAAAAACTCAACTTCTTCAACTCTCCACATATCCAGCCGAAAGGCGCAGGCACCAATCCACGGGGTGCCGCGGGAATTGCAACATCCACAGCCGATAGGTGGAGGATGGGGAAACAGCGGAATCTTCCTGGCCATGGGAATTGCCAGAAAGGTGAAACATGGCGATCCCGCCCAAAAACAAAGGATTTTGAGGGGTTTTGGGCCAATGCTCCAATTATTGAAAAATCCCAAAGCACTATGGGTCCACCGAAGATGGGATGGTGAATACTAAACAACATAGACGACATCTGCGCTGTCAGGGGCACCATCATATAATTGGGTCATATTCCGCTAAAACCCATATATATATATATATATACCATATAAATATCATATAACCCATTACATATGCAGCCTCTCTCTCTCTATATATATATATAAACTGTATATGCATATGAATATTTTATATATATGTGTGTGATGTGATATTTGCATTAGTTACAAAAACAAACGCTCTACATAACTGGGGTGATTAAAAGTTTATGAACCTTCTGGTAACTTATGGACAATCACAATCTTTAACCACCAAATCATCGAACTAAATGGGCCATGTTCTTTAGCTCTGTCAACTTACTGTACCAAAGGCTATCTTTGATTCCTGATGGCTTAGTAAGAATGACGCACAGCTCTACCCTCTCTCCCTGTTCATATATATGTAGATAGAAAAACACACATGTCTACACTTTAAAAACATTCACTACACAATGAATCACTATTAGTCCCTATTAATCACTAGAAGTGTCAATAAACAATCACATTAATGTGATTAATTAATCCATTATTTGCATCACTGTTAGTTGACTATCACATTAACTACCCTATAGGCCTATAGGGTATAAAATAAAATAGATGCGGAAAATCAACCATTTCATAAATTTCATAGGGACACCATGGGTTTTCATGGATTTTTGAACCTCTTTCTGTATGTCTACAGTGTCTACCCTATAACGAACCATGATTTGGACCACTGATGCGTCCAAGCCCCACTTCCGCCTTCTCCGGCTCCATCTTTGCGCAGTCGCAGCTCTGCAACTTCTCTTGGAGCTCCAGCAGGTCTTTGCTGCGCAGCACGTCCTGAGCCGCGGCTTGGCAGCAGTGGTGTCTTCAACGTAGAAAACGTGGGACATATCCAGCAAAAATGATGGTTTTAAGAAGGGGGTTGGTGGGTTTTTGGCATTTTTGTTCTCTATTTTAATCAAGCTTGCGGATATTCAAAGGAAGTTTAGTTAGAAAACTTCCGACTTACGGACGATGGTCATGGTTGGCATTCACACCATCATGTCAACTACATCATCATGTCAACGGCATCATCTTGTAAAACATACATCATCAAGATCATCAAGTCGTTGGGAAGTGTAACAGTTCGGAAGGGTGTGAATTCACGGGTGGAAAAACTATCGGGCGCGAAACCTTGTGCTTTTTCGGGTAATGTGGTATGGCAGTTTCAGTATCAAGCAAAACGTGCAATGCATTAATCTATAGATATGGAAAATCCACCATTTGAAGACAATCTTTCCAAGAAACTGTAGTTTTTTTCACGATATCCGATAGCCTTTAGTTTACCCCCGGAGGTTAGCCACCATCCCCACAGTCACAGCAGTGGTTCGATCCAAGGGTCTGCGACTGAGATGGACCTGGCAGGTGCGTGGACCTTTTTTGGGGGAGTAGCTATAGATGGCCCATATTTTTGTAGTTTTCCATATGTGGAAATGTTCACACATCTATAAATTCGGAGTTTTACCAACACAAAGAAATGTTTTTCAGTAAATTCACCAACAACAAATCATAGAGAAGTTGACAAAAAGGGGAATCAAACTGAGTCAGCCACTGGCAGTCTAACCTGGTTGGCAATAAATAATCACCAGTTTCAATACATCTTGCTCACCTGCAGGCCATGGTGGCTGGAAAACAGCCCGTATAGCTCTTATACCAAAAGCATATTCGTAGATGTAGACACTTTTAAGTTTGGCCACCATGAGAAATCATTGGAATGTATCCATTGGTATCCATTCCAAGAAGTTCAGTTGAACATACATTTATTGAACCACGACATGGCCCCGCCATACAGCCGGGAACAAACAATGCACAACACACAACATTTAAGTCCGTATCTGCATCCAATTCTGCAAATTTGTGGGTGCTAAAAGACATATTTACTTAAATCATCTTAAATCCAAGTATATGTGTTAGTTACCTCCTATTTTGGCAACATTGCGGGGGTTAAATTTCTCCGTGAAAGTACAAGGCATTTTTAAGAAAAATCCAAGAAGCTACGTAACGTCATGTTCCTAAGAGTTTCTCCATGGAATTCCATATTTATATATGGTCTATATCTTAATTTACCAGAGAGTGCCCTCCGAACGCGGGTAATCTTCATTCCATCCGCTTCGCTAGAACTTCATTTTCCCTACTATCCTACTAAAATTGCTATAAATTGGTGGCAACATCCAATTCTTGTTCACAATGTTGGTGTTTTATCATGTTATCATCCAACTGGTGGTGTTTTATCATGTTTTTTATGTCCATTTTTTTTCCGGTTGGTGGTATATCAACCCCTCTGAAAAATTGATGGGGTTCGTCAATTTAGTTCGTCAGTTGGGATTATTATTCCCAATATATGGAAAGTCATAAAAGTCATAATCCAGTCATGTTCCAAAGCACCAACCAGATCATTTCACCATTAAATCATCCATTAATCCTCAGATTCACCCATTAAATCACCATTAAATCTAGTGAAAACTGGTGAATTTCTGCCGGCACCTCCGCAGTTCCTTGCGAATCATCTCCGCCAGGACGGTCCCCTGCAGGGAATCCAGGCGCAAGCCGCCCGACGGGTCGCCCCCGGCGCGACGCACTAGGCCTGGCTCGGAGCGGAACGAGGGGTACCATGGATGGTCATTCAATCATTCACTAGATATGACTCACTAATATTATAACTATACATACAGTAAGTGATATCCTTTGGTTATTGTTGATGATAAACATGATGAAATACCCTCTTGTACTGATAGTTCGATGATAAGCTTACTTAAGTATACCGAAGTGAGAGGAGGTACTGAAATGTACTGAAGTTACCAGGCACTAAAAGCGGTAAATCATCATTTTCATCATCTATGATAGAAGGTAGTATGCTCTCTGGTATCTTAGCTCGATGATGTTGCTCAAAATCCACCAAGGATCGGCTGCAATCCCTTAAGACCTTGCGAATGCAGTAGCAAAAACGTTTAACTAGCACGCGCATGTGCTTTTCATTTTTTGTGGTTCGATCTCGTTTCTTGATGCCAAGTGCACTATGGGTCTGCAACCATGCGGTCAGTTGATTAATTTCCGATCAAGTCTGTCAACCGCAATGTGGTTGGAAAGTCTGCAGCCTCAATTCATCTGTTCCAGCACACAAATTCAGGGGTCATTATCATGCTCATCCCTTCCAACAAATGATGGATAATGATGGTATCGAGTTCAAACACACCAGCAATTTGCTCAGCAATTTGCCCATAGATTCAGGTCACATACTTTGGGGGCGCAGCTGCACTTAATAAGTGGGTATATCCTGGCCGTAGTCAGTTGAGATATCCCAATTCATGTTGGCTGTACACATGGTTACCCTCCATGCAATCAAGCGTGGCAATGGAACAACCCCCATTTAATCCGATCATTTTCCCAGCTTTAAACATCCATTTCGTTCGGGGACTTTCCAGCCAGCCATTTCCACCCAAAAAAAACCAACTGCACCACCAGATTCATGACACCTGCCAAAGGTGACTCCTGTTCCAGAGCTGACGGCCGCACTGCCGGACCGCTACGGCCGCTACGGCTTAGCACCTGAAATGCTGGTGTTTACCAGCAGATACCAGCAGGTTGCCGGGGAGAACCCATATAAAATCGGGAGTTTGACGGTCGCAAATGGGGAAATGATCATGTGGCAAAGCATGCCAGAAACACTAGGATGTGATTTGGAATTGGGCCCACATTGAGATTTCACTGGGACTGGGACCTCACGAATGACAAAGCAAATTGAACTATATGATCACAGGAGAAAACAGTTTTACCTGTACCACTGATGCGGGAAATGTCTGGTCAGAAATATTGAGAATGAGTACATGATCTCTGCTTGCCTATGGTTGGATTGCACTGGGTAGTTGCCCCCAAGATCTCAGAGACCAGAGGAATGTGTTGAATTTCTCCTTGGTGGCCATCTACAAATGGTGCCCCCAAACGATAGTAAAAGTTGCTGGAAAGAAACTACAGTATAGGTTAGCTATGGTTAACTAGGCTTAGGGATATCATATATCCTTGGTATTGCTTAGTTGGATAGGCTTACACACAAACACACATAAGTGCGCAGGCCACCTTACACCATTATCCCGCAGAAAACGTCGAAACCCTGTGGGATGTCGCAGCAATCCTTCAACTTGGGTTGTTCGACAACCAGTTGGCACAGTTGGCACCATGAAACATGTAAAATACATTTAACATACATTTAACATCTCTAACATCTCTGAAACAATGACACCCTGCAAGAGTTTCAAGCAACTTCAACGTACTTCAACCATCTTCAAGCCATTTCCAGAGCTAAGTCAGCTAAGTCTCCTGCGGGCAAGACTGGGGATGTTTATCCATGACAGCGTGCTACATGACATTCGCGGCAACAGTTTAGATGCACCAACGTTTTTTTTGGCTCAGTGGCTGGGACAGTTTCGGCAAACTCCACAGTCAAGGACAGCCCGTGATTTGCTTTGGCGACACGCACAGTGCCGCAGCCGTTCAAGATTGTGAAGGATCTATCGCGGTCCTGGTAGCCAACATCAACATGGCAACAAGTGGCAACTCACATCATCTGAACATCACATGGCTGATCTTCGAACACCACCCGTGTTCATCTTTGGGTAGGCATGTCATATTCCCATAGCACGAAAGCACCAAAATAAACTTAAACTGACAGAAACCATTTGTTCCCACAACAACCAGCGTCTACCCCCAACAAAAAGTATCATCCCTTTCCCACCTGACTCTTCAACCGAAAAAAAGGGGGCGCCCAACGGCTTCCCTCCTCCCAAAACCACGAAGAGTCCCAGGGAGGTTTGGGCAGCAACCAGAAGTACAGCAACTTCCGCAGTCGATTGCGCTTTAAGTACCACCTCACCTCCTGAGCGTGGCACAACTTGGTGTTCAACGGGTCCAGATCTTTAATGATCTTTAGCTATTCATTTGAAGTACCTCCCCAAAAGATTTTTGGAATATTCCCAAACATGGATCAAAACAAGCTGGCCACAAGCTGGTGAAACCAAGGGCTAACTGTCCAAACCTGCTGGACATTCCTCAAAATGATTAAATGAGCTGGTGAGTATCCCAAGTCCCCATCCCAAACAGGTTGCAGTGGAAAACCTCCACTGATTTTGTTCATGTGATGTCATCTGTACAGTGCTTTGAGGGCCAAGGCAGTGGCAACCATTACTACCACGACGCTTCGCCGAGCGGCGTCGCTGAACCATTTTGGCATCACGAGGTAGAAGCACAGGGGCAGACTGGGAAGCACGTAACGGTCGTCGTGCGGCAGCAAGACGTCCAACAAGACGCATCCTACAGCTGCTGCTGCTGCTGCTGCAGGGAGGGCGTTGATGGCTTGTTGCGAGGAAGTTCTCATCCAAAAATATCCAAAAATCGTAGTAGATTCTAGATTCTAGCAACATCTAGCAACCTTTCATCACCTTCCCCCCATGAAGTTCGGCTTCCATAACCACCGCCAGGAACCCAAGACCCAGCGGTCCTGCACACAGCGCCAGTTGTGCCAGAAACGGCAGCCAGGGCATCACCAAGGCGAAACCCAAAAATGGCAAGGCATGTTGGGCCTGACGAACTGGCGCGGATGGTGGCTGTGATGCCGGAAGGGGAACTTCAGGGAGCTAAGTTCCAACAAACGCTTCTACACGTACATATTTTATATGTGTATATATTTATATATACACATGTCAGCAGCACTTTCAGTAATCTCACGTAATCTCATGTCAGCTGCATTTTTGAAGCGGCAAAACCTTCTTAAATCAACCAACACATTCCTTGTATGTGGTAGCCCATGTCCCAACGTCGTCATTGATCCCACCTTCTCTCGCCGATAAAACACCAGCAAAGCGCAAGCCAAGACCTGGCTAAAGGCTGCAGGAGTGGCCCAACATGGCCCAATCATCAGCCAATCATGCTGCATAATGTTATATATAGAATAACCAGTATCCTACCCATCTACCACCCCCAAAAAAAGAAACAAATCCCAGAAGAAAACCTGCTATTTTTTGCCTTTCAACATAAGCCAACCTCAACCAGTTGCAAGGTTGCGAACTCCGGGCATGCAGAATATTGATGGGAGGAACATTAGTGGACCGTATTGCTCAAAAGAAAGCACTATCCCCAAAATCGCTGCCTTCTCCTCAAAAAGCTACTACTGGTAGGATGTCCAACAAAATATATATGGTTCCGTCGATATTGACCGATCCCCATATAACATAATACTGTATCCCAATTTGGGGATGATGCCTCTTACATTCGCCATCGTTCCACTGACGTCACAGTGAGGTTATTATAAATTTTCCAAAGACATTGATAAACCCACCAAATTTTTAACGTGGAACTAAGATCTATGGCGGTATCCCATGGAAGACTCGTTTCATTTTTCGGCATCTTCGTTTTGGGTTGGTATAATATAACATCCGAATATCATTGTAGATTGTTATCATATAACATCGGAATATCACTAAGAATGTCAACAGCTTGCATCCCATAAATCCCATTCAATCACACACACACAAATTATATATATGTATATATCCCCAAATATCTCCATATTTCATACCCTCCGGTAAAGTATTTGACGTAGGTTTACTTCGTTGCTTTACCGCCAGAAAATCCATGGTGCCAGGCCGCAGCCATAGCCCCAGCCGCACCTGAAGGGTGCAGATCCAGTTCCAAGGGACCAGGCCGGTCACCAGCATCAGCATTTCAGGGGGGCTGATGCCTCGGCGAAGCCTGGTGCTCCTTTAAATGATAGCTCAGTAACGGTGCAAAAACATGCAAAAACGGTGTAGGCTAAGTAGGCCTTTTTCTTGGATTCATCTATAGTTTGCATAAGTTTACAAAACTTATAACATCTGAAAACTGAGGGGGCAGCAAAATCTCATGAAACTTGGTCTTGTTTACAGAAAACCACGTGTGTTTTCAATCCAATGAGGGAATTGAGAGCGACCAAACACGGAGCCACAAACAGCCAAAATTGGCGCAGGACTTGTAAGGAATCTTGTCTACCCCTGGCCATGGGAAAAGTCCATGTCTTGAAAAGGAAATACAACTCAACCCATATTTGTACCGTGACCGTACCTATTCTCTAGATGAGACACAACATATCATATACAGTATTATATAATATATGTTCATTAAAATAAAGTACCGTCGGGGACTTTGTCAATAAGTGTTGTTCACCAAGAAAGTAGACTCTGATTGTCGAAAATCAATTACTCAGACTCAGACTCTATGAGCAAAAACATGTCAAAGTGCATATTACTATAGTTATTTCATGTCATTTCCTTTGTGTATTCCCCTCTTCCTCTTTAAAGCTGGCGGAATAGGAATCCCGGGTCCCTCCGGGTCCAAGTGGCTGAGTCCTTCATAGAAGGCGCGCGTGCGGCGCTTGGTGGGCAAGGGCAACAGCGGCGTGTAGGCCAAGGCGGCCCAAAGATAGGGCAACCTCGGCCAAGTCATAGCCCGGAGGTGGGGGTTGGCCCGGAAAATGGGAAGTTCACCAAAGAACCTTGGAATCAACAGCTGGTTAATGTGGTTGGTGGTATACCCCTCTTAAAAAATATGAGTCAGTTGGGATGATGATTATTCCCAATATATGGAAAGTCATAATCCAGTCATGTTCCAAACCACCAACCAGTTATGATAGCGAGATCTTGGTATAGCTGGTTCACTCGGTGAATTCTATGGTTTTTGGGTAGATAAATCTGGGAGGCGTCACCTTGTCGCACCCTCCATTGATTCAACCTGGCTTGTTGGAAACCACCTAATTAGTTCGATTTTTTTCATATTTTTCCATGGTCTCCCATTCAAAGTTGTGATTTTCCACTGCCTCGTTAGATTGCCAACATGTAGGTCATTTTCTCATGGTTCCCTTTTCTCACCATCATTTACAGCGACATCACAGTGAGGTCGTCATCGTAATTCAGCCAAACACACCTGCTCTACCCTTTTCTGGCAAATACTGTCACTTGATGTGTTTACTCCCTTTCGACAGTGCCAATTTCTACTGTTTGGTGGATGGGGATTCCCATCTGGATTTCGATGATCACACCTATAACCAGTTGAACTGCAACTTCAAACAGACCATACAAACCATACAAAACCATCATGTCCTGCTTTGACCCCCAATTTTTCGGCACATAGATCATCCATAATCATCCATATATCTCAATGTTCATTCGCAACAATCCATATGTCTGCCGGTTAAAAACTGTTTTTTCCATGGAAAAGCATGGCAAACACCATGGAAAAATTCATTTTGCCCTGGTAAAATCCACCTTTTCCACGGCCCAAGTGGATACCGGGGCACAGCAGCAGTCGCAAAGGCCCGGTCCACAGCAAATCCCAAGTTGCCGGGGCTCGAGCGAGGTGGCCCAGAAGTGTAGCCAAGGTCACCTGGGGGATTTGAGCGACAAAAGTAGGGATTGAACCATCAAAAGTGGTGATTTAAGCATCAAACATGGATCTTTTACCTATATTATATATATATATAACTGGTTGGTGGTTAACAGTGTCAACCCCTCTGAAAAATATGAAAGTCAGTTGGGGATACCATTCCCAATATATGGGAAAGTCATAATCCTGTCATGTTCCAAACCACCAACCAGATAAAAAGCATGGGGGTTCAGCTTAAATTATCAAACATGGGATTAAAACCACCGATGAAAGCGATAAAAAACAACAAAAGATTGGGATATAACATGATCTACCTATATCAAATAATTGTGGGATTTAATCGTCAAACATATACTGTATATTCTTGAAAATCTTGGAGAGAGAAGATGGTAGAAAATCTATTCTACCTACTTTAGGGTGATTATAAATCTGATATTCCTGTTCTATATCAACCCTAAACAACCATACGAGCAAATACGTGCAAATGCAGATAGAGTACCAAGGCCATCGCGCTGGGGCCACTTCAACTCGGTTGGATAAAGGATTCAGGCCACGGTCAACCAAAGGATCAAGAAACCCTGGCATAAATCTATACCATCTGGTAAACTAACATAAGTATGGAAAATCACAATTTTTAATGGGTAAAGAACTATAAATGGCCATTTTCAATAGCTATGTTAAATTACCGGAGGGTATTTGAGTGCTACCTTCAAACAAATAATGCGCGCCTTGATCAGAATAGAATACCCAACCAGCCTTGACATGATCAAACTGTTGCACCTCGCCCCATTGGCCCCTGTAGGAAATGGCCTGTAGCAAGATCACAGGGTACCAGCTGCAGTATGACCTGAACAGCTTCAGGCCCCGCAGTGAACGAATTTAAATAAATAAATAAACACACACACACACATATATATATTATATTATATCAATATTATATATTATATATTATGAGATATATCCAAGTTTAGAGTCCATTGAAGATCCGTTCCGCAGCTCCACCGGCCAATTCGGCCAATTCTGATTCCCCGGTCGTGGTTTGCAGAGCCCAAATCTTGGTGGATGAACATCTTGAAACCCTACCTTTTTGCACAGGACATGGGAGGATGGATTAACCTGGAAGATTCACCCATTGGAAAAAACAACAATCGAACATTACCATCAAAACAGTGGAAAGGTTCAATCATAGGATGCTTTAACCTTCCCACAACATCCCACAAGCATCATCCATTCATCCCGGGCCTCAACATCTGCCATTGAATCCGCGTGCGTAGCTGCAAATGCTGCAGCTCTCGTTGCACAGAGGCTGAGACCTGCTCCTGGTCTCAGGGCTGGACAACCCCCAACCAAAAGGAAGTTTACATAGATTTATAGCTGGGAAAATCACCTATGGCCAATGGAATTTGCCATTGCCACGATTGATTCCCGCGGGGTCTTGGGGATGTAATGGGATAAAAAGAACCAACAAGATGTTGGGAGCCAGAATGTCACTCGGAGATTGGATTTTTTAGGGAACATGATGTGGAAAACCATGATCATCATCCCCTGTCAGGAATTACGACATGTTTGAAATCACCAACACGTATTAGTTGACATCCAGTTGTAAGCCATGGAAACAAACATGAACTAACTGGATAATTGACCACCAACTGGATCTCTAAGATTCATTAACATCATATTATCATCATATTATCCTGGAGATTTATCCAGTTTGCCATTGGTGAATTCTCCACCATCAAAACCATTGACGGTCCTCCAGTTGATTCCGCTGCACCTTGCCCGTCACCGGATGCCGTGGCAGCCTCCCAGAGCAGATGGTGGCATTCATCCAGCGCCGATATATTTTACATATGTTTTGAACATATGTTTTTTTGTTTACCTTATTTTACATTTTTAACATATGAAATGATTTTATAAAGTTTGAACTTTTGAGGTTTATGATTGGGTATGCCACGTCACCAACATAGATTGTGGACTTGTGGACTTTAGTCGCTGGATCAAGCCTCTTATGGACAGAGGTATCCGGTGCCCCTTCAAATAACTCTATCTGATATCACTGATATCCCCATTACGGCCCTTATTTCGATGTGTAAATCCACATTTCTAATTGGTTGACTAACGGTTAACATATCCCCGTTTGGGGATTCATCTGTCCCCAGATTTTGATGGTTTTTTTCATCGTTTCCCAAAATAGCGATCAGGGCAACACTCTTTGCTTAAATCGCGACAACACCTCCATCAATCCCGGTAAAAACCCTAGAAATATACAGTCCATATGGTGTCTGATGGACTCAGATGGACAACCATTCATCAACGTCACCAACGTTTAATATACAGACCAGGAATGATGGACGAATGATGAAACCATTGGTTCAAGCAATGGACGAATAGCCCTTGTAACAGTGGTTTATCATCATTCATCCGATTGAACTTCTTGGGGACTCCCCAGCGCTGCACCTGCTTCGCAAATGCAGCCGTGCGGTGGGTCCCAACAACTTCTGGGCATCGTTTAGGGCGCTGTTGACCGGATGAGGCAACCTGCGAGCTTGAGATATCTTGAAATGGCGCCTCTAGAGGCATGGTGGTTGATCCCGCTGAAAAGCGATGCTCAAATTTAATGGATTAGGCCAGGTAAGTTGGCCTTTAACCACCGAAAACAATGAAAACAACAGGTGCATGGCTATAATCCATCCAGATGTTCACGGCTGAAGACTTAGGTCTCATCATGTCTCATCAAAGTTATCAGTTCTGTTGAGGAAAACCCTGGGGAATCAAATCAATGCCCGCAGGTGAGCCCAAGGCCTCATGGCTTAGTCTTGGGTTTACTATGACATCATTAGGACTACCCTCTGGAAATATGACACTAATAGCTGATTTACCTGCTTAAAAATGCTGGTGTTCCATGGCTATGTTAGTTTACCAGAAGGTAAACCATCCAACTTTGCTGGGTAAATATGTTTAGGCCATAGCCACCATGGGACATGGCAATGAAACACGTGCCATACAGGTGATCTAGTTCTGCAACTTGAGGATGTTCCATCATCTTTAAGTACCTGCTCTATCTCCATGAAAACAACATCTAATCATCTAATCCCTGGGAAGCAGCATCAATCATCAGCCTACCAAAGAAAAAACATCACAAAGCATGGAAACAATGATCATACAATGAAATGAATGAGGTAAAATCACAAGAAAACCTGGGATCATCAGAATTTTAATGACACGACAAGAGGCAATGATCTGAAGCAATCATTCAAAAACCACACGAAGACGTCTTGCACCATCAAACCATGGAGATGTTCATCATCACTATCCCCATGACAAAGTTGCCATAGCTTTTTGGGCGTCCATTTCCCATTGACAGACAAGAAATCGATGTTGGTGATGTCTCATATGATATTCCTTGTTTTTTCCCCACATATACCATTTCCCATTTTCAATCAAACTCAAACATATCAAGCTTGTTAGATATCCTAAAAATCTGCCATGACAGATCTCATTCTATCCCCATTTGTCATGGTTACTCAGTATCCACTATTTCTGAAATCTCATACGCATCCAGTTGTATCTTTATATATATTTACATAGCCCATAGCATATCCCCATCATATCCCATTACAATGGTTAAGTCCCCATCTTACATTCCGCAAAGATCCCCGAAGTTGCAGAAAAGAGACATCCAATTGTCTGAAACTGGGTCTACAGCAACCGACAGAATTATGAAAAAAAATAAAGGTTACAATTGACAGGTGAGCTCCTGTCTATCACGGGAAAATTCTAGACTTTTTTTTATTTTTATTTTACATATATAACTACTTTTTTTGTCCATAATTCTGTCGGCTGGAACACGTCCATCGATTCGCAGTTTGAAAGCATTTTAAAGGGGAAAATTCAATTATGGAAAATATGAATTTGTCCAAAAATAACGTATACGGTATACCCCCAGCAATTTCCAGCCTTTTGCCAGTGGTTTTGAGCTATTGTCAAACGCATTTTTCCATTGGTTTTCAGCAATTGATCAGCATATTTCAGCATTTTACCAAAGGTGTTCATCATGTTTTCAATCAATTTCATTGTGTTTAGCATTGACTTTCATCAGTTGTTTGACTTATTTCATTATTTTACCATTGGTTTCAAACAATTTCCCGACCTATTTCAGCCTTTTTCCACCATTGGTTTCAATCAAGTGTCAAACCTGTTTCAGCATTTTTCCATTGGTTTTCACCAATTGATCAACATATTTCAGCATCGTGCCAAACAGTTTTTCAAATCTATCTCAGTTTAGCAAAGGCTTTCGTCCGTTTATCTTCCCGTTTTTTCGGATTATTTTCATAGGCGCTCACTATTCAAACATGCACTTCTGGGGCTGGATCTGACCGGCTACCCTTTTTGGATGATGTTTTGTGAAGCCCTTTTTTCTTACGGTTTTAGCATTTGTTTTCTAATGTTTTTTTTCTATAATTAACTTTTCCCAGAAATGGTCGTCCAGGATGACCTATAACGAAAAATGGACACATTTGTTGATGCCACAAAACATATTTCGTCATTTTGCCATTGGTTTTAAGATGTTTTAAGCAATGTTCCAAGCTATTTCTTGGTTTTTAGCAATTGCCCAATCTATTTCAGCATGTTGCCATTGTTTTTCAGCAGCTGTTCAACATCTTTCAGCATGGTTTTTCATCAGTTTTTCAAATCTATTCTATTATTGTTGGCATTGACTTTCGTCAGTTTTTCCTCCCGTTTTTTTCGGAACAATTTCAAAAGGCGTTCTCTATTCAAAAATGCACTTCTGACCGGCTACCCTCCTTTGGATGATTTTGTTACAACATACTTACGGTTCTAGTTTTTTCTATAATTAACTTTTCCCAGTAATGGTCGTCCAGGATGAGCAATCTACAATGAAAAGCACACATATTTTTGTCGTTCAGGTGCAACACCACAAAAAACTGGGTCTGAAATGTCGATCCATGACATGGCCAACAGGTGGACCCCCAAGATTAACTATGGACAAAAAATGATGGAAAAAACGGGTGAATTTGCTCCAACCCCCTGATTTCACAGGAAAAAAACAATTGTGGAAAATCTCGGGTCCCTCCAAAAATTATGAAAAAAAAAGGTTCAAAAAACATCCTTGAAATTTTGAACCCTTACGGGGAAAACTCTTATGGAAAAAACGGAGACAGGCGAGCTGTCTAAGTTAAACCTTTTGTTTTTTTCCCCATAATTCTGTCGGTGACCATAAGTCCATCAAAAATGCGAATTTTGCTATTTCCAAAGAGTTGGGAAATAGTATCCCCATTTTTGGATGGTTTTTGTATCCCTTCCCAAATCCAAATATCGCAAATATCCAGATTATATGCCATGGAAGCGTCCAATCCACTGGGGGGTACCCCTAAATTATCATTTGTTGCCGGAATTTCCACCTTTTCTATGGGGATCCCTCATAACTATGGAACCCCGGTACTTCCAAGCAAATATTTTTATATTATGGACCATAGTTCATTAGAGATATCCAAATCTGTTTTTTTTGATGTTCTATCCCGGTTTCTATCTCCATTGATGGCTAGTATCCGCATCATATCCCCATATTCCGAGCAGGAAAAAATCACCTGCTCAGCACTTCCTCTGGCTCCAGGGTCACGAAGGCTTCTAACCGCTCCTCACATAGGTCAAGCGAGTTACGCAACCAGCCATGGCGTTGAACGTAGGGAGGAGTATATCGCGATTCCATGGTGGTTTCATGGTGGGTAAATGGTGGTTTAATGGCGATGTAAAACTTTCATGGGGATTGAAATGATTTAACTGATTTAGCCATATTGGGAAAGAATCACACAACATTCAAAGTTCAAGTGGGGATTGAAGCTGATGGGTCAAGGTCAAACTTAGTCCCAAAACCATGAAGTCTGCATTAAGAGGGTGCAGGCCCAGCCTGTTAACCGGAAACCGTTCCGCTCAACATTTAAAACATGCATGTTTTTAGCATCAAAATGCGGCTATCATGAAACATCAGGGAAAACCTGGAGTGGCTCAAGAAGCACACAACTGGAAACGAGGATTTTACCCTCCAATTGCCAGTCGATTCATCCAAGGCCAGCACACCATCACCGCTGATTTGATTGCTAACTTCTTTAAGACCAAATGGCCATGTAGTGGAGGTGACTGAAAGAACACTTATATTATATTAAAAACTCCAAAGTCATATTCTACCAGTCAATTTGACTTATATAACTTCTTGAACCGAAAAAAATGTCAAGCAAGTCGGGTCATATATCCTACAAGTCAATTTGAAGCAAACATCTATCCTACAAGTCATATAATGTCATATAATCCTACAAGTTGTATATCCTGAGCAAGTTATATATCTAACGTTTTTTTTATTGATATAAATATACCATCTGGTTATTCAACATAGCCATGGAAAATCACCATTTTTAATAGGTAAAACATCTATAAATGGACCATTTTCCATGGCTATGTTAAATAACCAGAGGGTAAACATCGAGAGATTCACGCCGAGGAGCGCCCTGAAGCAAGGCACAACTGGCCATGCCAGGGATGGCCTGCAGCTGTTCAGCCAGGTCCTGTCAGGCCATCATGGCATTGGTTTAAACGGAGTAAAAACCTATGAAAAATATGGTAAAATATGGTAAATGCCTATGAAACGTATGGCAAATGAAAAATGGTACCATATGGATGAATATGATAAAACTTTACGAAAACATGGCAAAAACTGAGTAAAAAGCCATAGGTCTCCGGTGTCGATTTTCCCCAACATAAGCAATGAAATGAGGAAATCATCCAAAATCACTGGGGGATGGTTCATCACTTCATATCTCTTGATGTTTGTGAAAAGTATGAAAGCCACTCTTCAGGCCATGGTTTTTGAGGTGTTGGTTGCTTTGTGATCTTTGCAACGGGGCTTTCATTGGGATGATTTAGTTTTGACTCACAGCACTGTGTTTCAATGCTTCATCTCCGTCCCATATAGCCAGCGGGCATGAAGCACCAAGGCCAAACAGTCGCCTTGAAATACAGAAGTTAGGCACGAGAATCAAAACTTCACTGGCTTGAAACGTCTATCGCTGTCAAACATCAAGTCAAGTGGATTTAGTGAATGGTCCACCGCTAGCAGCCACTGGCTGCATCTCTCCTCAAGGTCTACGAACTGCCCCCCGCGCTTCGCAAGGGACCCACTTCGGCCGCAGTAGACCAAGCAGCCCCCCTATGCAGCGGCAGTCCCACCAGCCCGATCCAATCAGACTCGGTTGCGTTGGATTTCAAGACATGTTTTCCAATGCAAGACAACACCTGTATATATATATATATATTTATATAATGATATATTATATATATTATAGACTTTGTCAGGTTTATTTGGTGCCCAACAAAAATCTCACAGATCCTTAAAAGCTCCCGGTGCCTCCACCCGTCTCAGCTTGTCACGCGTGCGCAAGTAGCGAAGACCCTTCAGGAAGAACTCACCTCACCAAGATTGAGCCCAAATGAGGGAGGATGAGAGTCTGGATACCCTCTGGTAAACATACAAAAAAATATTGAACATGGCCATAGAAATAGTGGATTGTCCAATTAAAAATGGTGATTTTCCATAGTTATGTGACAGTTGAACATTACATATACAAAGGAGGGTATGCGATTTTTGTAAATTAGAAAATGATGGTTCATTTAGGTATGCCCAAAACCACCAAACATCTAAGTGCGCACTACCCTGGCTAAAATCCGTTCAGATCTTTATTTGATGAGAACAACTATTTTCAGCTTGTCGTTGGTCTGCAGTTTCCATCTGAATTGTAGAGATGCACCAACCACTATCTTCTAAATCCATCTAGATCAACTTTTAGTTGATGTTTTTTTGCATTTCAACACCCTGCATGCCATAGCTACCACACATGCTATCCATCTACCCTGCCCCTAAGGCCGAACCAAGTGACTGCCCTCGTCGTTGCAGATCCTGTGGGCTGATGGAATGGCAAAATCCACATCATGTACCCTCTGGTAAACTAACATAACTATGGAACATCACCATACATCACCATTTTTAATGGGTAAATCCACTATAAATGGCCATGTTCAATAGCTATCTTAAATTACCAGAGGGTACAAAATCAGTAGAGACTTCTGAGGTGCCATCACCCTCATCTAAAAGTGGCGCCTGCCATCGGATCCAATGTAGCCCGGGGACACGGTATCACCTGCACCGAGAGGACTGAGACACCCTCATTGCGCAGGTGGGGTGCGATGATACCCTCTGGTAAGTCAACATATGGAAAATCAGCATGTCCAATTGGTAAATCGCCTATAAATGGGCGATTTTCCAAAGCTATCTTAAACTAAGGCTGATATCTGAGCACCGATTGTCCCTCTAAATTTGGTTGTGTCATCCCCAAGTCACCACCGGTCAGGAATGGTTTTGCAAAGTTTTTGGACCTGGGCGTGTCTCAAAACTGATGATATTACCAACCCATAGGATCCATGGTGCTGCTATATATGGTAACATGGATCCCATCAATATACCCCAGTCATCGTAGCATATATACCAGCACCATGGATCCTATGGGCAATCGACCGGCCATGCGAACCGTCGAACCGTCATCCAATGGATCCAATGGATTTCGGACGCCTCGGAGAATCATCTCACCTTCATCCCCCAAGTCACCATCAGCACTCCTGGCAGGATTCCAGAGTTTCAAGTGGAATCATTGGACGGGAAATCGCCTTTTGCCAGAACTTGCTGTTGAAGTTACAGATCATCCCTTCATCCCTTCCACATTCATTTGTTCATGATTCATTGCTGAGCATCAAGCAAAAAATTGGTGACTAGGCTGATAACTCCAGATCATCCAGGGCTTGAGTGGGAAAAAGGACTACATGCCCTAACCTAACCAATCTTGAAAACAAAAACATATTTATCTGACCTAACCCATGGATGGTGAGCCAGGATACCACAGGATATGCCAGAAAAATGCTGTGAAAAATCACCATGGTTGGCCCATGATCCAAGGATGCACCCTTCCCGAGGGACCCTTTATGCATGTATCAATACATACACACACAATACACACACACATAAATTATATATATCACTATACTATATATATAAATATATGTTCTATGAGATTATGTGTATATATCTCTCTCTCTCTCTCACTATATATATATATATCTGTAGGTCTATATATGCATGTGCAAATGCAAATGCAAATGTAAAAAAAGTGCATATTGCTGAGTAATCTCTACGAGTACCTGTTCACATTCCATGTTCAATAGATGGTCAAGATGGCCATTGGCGAGGGGGATTGAGGTCGTATCGACCCACCATCTAGGAATGGCTATGTCATGTATGCACATGTCATATCAATCTATAAATATATATATATATATGTATCTCACAAATATCTGACATATATGTACTTGTAGGCACAAACTATATCCAACATTCGTTGTATTCAGCGCATCACTATCCCAACATCCCAACGACTACAATTTCGACCAAGCATCAACAAATGTATCTGCAGCTTTGGCAAAGGCATCAGCAGGTGCTTCTCTCGTCCGTCCAGGGGATCCCTAAAGACATCGCAATGGCTGTAGAGGGCCAACCAATACTCACCTCACACGTAGAACCCCAAACGCTTGGCACACTGAAGAGTGAACATTCTGGGAAGAACCCGAACAGCTACAGGTGTTGTGGCGTCGACTTGGGGGTTTTAACAAATAGAACCTCGAAAGAAGTGAGTCTGAAACATGTTTCGTTGGAATCAGAAGTGGATCTCAAATTCGTTTCGATTCAAGCCTTCCAATTGTCTCAAGTGGCGCTTGTTTGCCTCTACTTTTACCAATTCCACACCCTCGGGTAGCTTGACATAGCTATGGCAAAAATATCTAAAATATTTGAACAGGTAAATCATCTACAAACAAACCATTCTTCTTGGCTATGTCAGATTACAAAAGAGTTTTCGGGTCGAGCTAGCTGTTTTCCCTTTGTTGGACCAACAATTCTCTGCAGCAGCATTGGCCCTGCTGGAGACCCCCCGATTTCTGAAGAGGTCACTTGCAATCAAAAGGTCAACCATAAAGCACACCTGGGCACCCCCGGATGAGGAGATGAAAGGGATGGAGATCAAGAATCTGGTGTTGTAGGAACCAGGTTGAACAATTCAGACTGATGTTGAAACCAAAATGAGCAGCATCAACTTCCGGCTACGAATGGAGACTTACCAGCTGAGCATGGAATCAAACATTACAAACATGGATAAACAGTTATCAAAAATAAAAAACGTAATAAACATAATCATCCCACCAAATGCCCCCAACCCCACCATGTGCCGACCCTACCAACTTCTTTTTGTCAACCATTGAATCGCAGTTAAAATCATCTGGACATATCTGGACGCACGCAAACAATATCTACATACAGTCACTGTGGGTGCAAAGCACAAATCCATCACCTCCAGAAACAACATGGTTTGTAAATGTCTGGCAAATGGCTTTTGACTGAAGTTTGAACCCCAACGATTGTCATGCACTTCCTCCCGATCCAACCCATTTGCAGCCATTTTGGTGAAGCATTTGCAGCGCCCCATTTATGCACAACTTTTATTGGACACTGGTTCATTACTGATTACTAGTGATTGCTGTCCCAGACATTTGCTTGGACACTGGTTTCTGAGAAAATGAACAAAAAAGGCATGTATAAAAATGGGCCCAACAGCAAACAAAACATAAAAAAAAACCTGGCACTGGAAGCCAAAAATCCGAACTTGGCCCAATGAAACCACCACAGTTTGGGGCTGGCACCATTGTGAGACAACCCCAATGTTTGTGAGTTCTACATATGGCGGGTTCTCCATATCTATGTTAGCTTTCCAAAAAAAACAGAATCCCAATGTATGACTTATGACTTATGAATTCTCTTACGACAACCCCACATCGAATGGCTCCTTGCAAACATTCCATGATATACCATGGACTTTAGCATAAAACATGGTTGGTCAATATGCAAACCAATGATTGGTTAATATCCTCGGTTCATATTCCCGATTACAAGCCATCCTGGCTCTCATATTTTATTACGCTGTGTCACTTTGCTCCCCCATACTTTCAAACATTTTCCCAATTGAACTAGTCAACTACAAGCTGGCGCCCCCCAAGTTCTAAGTGTTGGTTTTTGTTCACCTTATTGAGTAGTTTGACATACAATACATACATATATATATATGTGTATAGTATATCTATGTATCTACGATCAACCATAGAATTCACCTCTATTCACCACCCCACTGAAACGTTTTCGGCATCCGGTCGTCGCCTCCTTCCACGCTTTCGAGAGCTTCACCGGCAAAGCTTCACCCCAGGTGAGGACCAGCCGCAGGGAAGGCGCTTTGGTCATGGGACCTCGGGGAAGTTTAGCGATGCTAAGCATCATGAAAATATAATATGTCTCATAGAGATGTGGGGATTTGACCGTCATTCATGGGGATTATAACAGAAATTAGAATGTGTATAAATAAAAAACAACACATATGAACATTACGTCTTGAACTAATTACTGTAGTCAAACTGTCTTGACATTGGGACTCAACCCGCAAGAATCACGGGAATAACTCATTTTACGAAAAGATAGTACATAAATATAGGTGGCATATTAAATCAACCATTTTCAGGGGATGTGCAGAATTGGGAGAATAACTGGAACCGGATGGATGTATAAATATAATTCCAATAGGTCACTTCAAATGCACGACTTTCCAACCAGAAAACAATTTCAAAGGTCATCACCTACAAGCCGCAAACAAATCATGTTCCATTATCTTAGAATACCTTGGAATACCAAACAGCGGTGGTTCAACAGATTCGGATAGATTTGGTTTGTATAGGTCGATGGAAAGGCGATGAGTAGTAGCAAATGGTCACTGAAGTACCACTTGAAACGGGAGTTTTCTATCTATATGAGTCAAGTCGTACTCCATGAAAATCAGCCATGAACCATAAAACATTAAGAATCAAAATCAATGAATCTACTTTCTGGTGCTCAAGCATGGCATTGGAAAATCTATCATTTATATTCATTCATGAACACATTTCCTAGCTATAAAGCTCCATTTGGGGATGTCCCATGATTTTCCCCACGTTTTTCCGTCCGTTCGACGCGCCTCCGGGGTAGGTGGCCCGCAGCAGGGATGGGACTGTGCCCAGCACCGTGATCTGGTACTCTTCGATGACAGCAGCCAGACCTTCGGCGCCGATCGCGATTTCATGGTGATGTCATGGGAATCTAACGGCCAAATATGGTGGGTTACCCTCTGGTAAACTAACATAAGTATGGGGAAATCACAATGTTTAATGGGCAAATCCACTATAAATCACAATTTTCAATAGCTATGTTAGTTTACCAGAGGGTATATCACCATCATTTCATATGGTTTGTTAAATATATAAATAACCATCAAGAATACGGGTGATACCCCTCTGCTAATCTTACTGTTTGTGAAAGCATATGGAAATGATAGGTCATCTACACTATGTTAAGTTGCCGGAGGCTGTCACGCAAGCAGTGCCACAAAAACAAGCAGTTGCCATTTGAAGGTCCAAAATGTGATATTGATTTCCAAAAAGGGGTGGAACCATAAAGAAAACCTGTGTCAATCATGTCTTTTGGGAAAAGGTGGAGGGATAGGTCTGCTACACATTCAATCATCATTTACCTTTGGTTGTGAAGAGAGGGTAGGATTTGGGGGTAACACTGCGCTAGCAAATTGATGCAAATAAAAACTGTGGTGAGTTGGTAAATGCAAACCGTGGCTGGGAATTGTGTGTAAAGAACAATATCCAATTGTTGGATTATGTTGGGTTGCAAAAAAGGGATCCTGCAAACAGGTAAGGGGCGTTACAACTTCTTTGAACAGCACATCCTGTCGGATTTGCTTCCCTTCCCCCGAAGATGTGGATTCCCCTGTCCCCCTCGTGCGTGCGCCGTCAAGCACAAGATGCCTTCGGTGCGCGACTGGGAGAAAACCACACAAGCGCCAAACGCTAAGGCGATATCGATCCTTGGATCAGTCTTAGAATGTGGCGGAACCAGTAAGACAGGGGTAACCATGGGCTAACATATGGAGCATAGGGATTTTGTCGTTTTTTTTTTAGAAATCAACCCATGAGACGGGGATCTGGTGATGTTGATGTTGGGCAACATTCACAACCCTTTAGTGGCTACTTTCAACTGGGACTGATGGTTTCAACCCAAAGAATCTTTGCCAAAGAATTGGGATATCATCGTCCATGTCGAAAATTCAAAACAAGTGTGGATTATATTGATTATATATCGCCAGAATGCACGGACCTTACATGTTTGGTCATGGGCCATAAAAGGTGGGGACTGACCTCAGAAGATTTCTGACTGAAATCAATCAAACAATTCAAGGTGATGATTCTTGTTCACCTCCGGGCCTCAGCAAGATGAAGGATATATTGAAACCGGGTAAGGCTTAAGGTGTTTTCATCCCACTGGCTCAATGACTGATTTACTAACTATATCAATCCCTGGCAATCACATCTGGCCAGGGAAAAGTATTCAAGTTCATGCAAATCACAAGCTGCATATACATACAAATAATATAGATATATACATACAACATCTATTAGTTATATGATTATTGAATTTTTAAAATATGTAGAACAATATCGGCATATTTTACATGTACATACACATGTATTGCCCGAAGGCAATCCAGATAAATCTGATATTCCTGGAGCGTCAGCTGAGGTCACATCGAGGCATGGGCCCTTTCCGGGACACTGCCTATCTCCAGCTGTAAGGGAAATCACATTTTTGCTACTCAGGGATGCAGTTGAATCAGTTCAAGTATGTTCAAGTTATAAACTGGTATAGCCTCACTAAGAAGCCTCATAAGTCATCATAAGTTGGGATGTAAAGCTGTAAAAGCCTGTAAGTATGGCTACATACTGTACATATTTTTATCCCCCTGTTCAACAATAACTTCTGTACATCTTAAGCAGCTGCAGCCACACCAGACATGTGACTGGCCAAACGCGGCAGCCCCCCAGTAGGCCGAAGTGAACTGCAAAACCTGCCCGAATGGTGGGAGTTTCCATAGCCATGGGGGATCCCCAATAGATTATGGCTGCTTTTATTTCATGGAAAGTCTTATTAAAAGAAATGATTTTAGGGGTGCTCCCCATTTCAGGAAACCACCAAATACAAACAAACACATATGAGCAGTGTTGAAACCCCTTTTGATGTCGCCATATTATATACTTGGTTAATCGGATTCCCCACCATGGATTGTGACAATCCGCAATATATTGCACATTAAGTAATCATCAGCAGCGGTTTTGCACACTGCTGATATCACTGGAAATATTGAAGTAATCTACTTGGCGTACGTTACAAGACGGTCATCCACCATCGGCGACCTGGAATGCACCCCCAGGTACGGTAGTGTCACTTCTATCTTCTGCACATGGGGAATATAACATGAAATAGCTACAGCGCAACCCATGATACCAGGGAAGAAATCAAGAAAGTAGTGTAGAGGCGTATGTCTACTTTTTAATTCGAAACTGCGTGGACTATTGGTCTCAGGAAATTGGCCTGCCGGCAACACTAAACCCCCTTCAAGTAGGATGCGGTGACGACTTGCTGGCCTGGGATATGTGGCCATTTTTCCTTCCTCAATTAACCTACGAAACAAAGGATTGCCTAACAGGCGCGGCTATTAAAAACAGCTCAAAGCACCAATGTATTTTTTCTATCGCGGGGGATGCTAGCGATCTGAGTTTTGACCATGATGGCGCTCGTGATGGTTTAAGCGCATCTCGGGATTGGAACCCATTAAAAACAGCCATGGCACTCGATCACTGGAGGACATTTTGCCACCCAAAACGATGTGGTAATTCTTCATCTCCCACAGTGCCATTGCATGCCTTGGCCCACATATTCCATACAAAAAATGCCATCAAACATGTTTTTGCGCAGCTATCAGGCTGATTTTCAATACCGCCAATTTAAAAAACAATGAAATCTGCATGTTATGACCAATTCTGCTTGGACAATTTTGGGTCTACTCTCCAACTTTGACCCATCAAAAACCGCTGATTTTTCATTGCCGGGACGCGTGACCACCACGCACTTGCTGTGTTTCGTGGTGCCGCCCGTGTAGGTGTACAGCAACACCGAGTCAGGGCTACATGGTCCATCCGACACGGTGTCGCCGTGGCCGTTCTCACAGTTGATGGCCTGCAAAATCCTTGGAAACCGAGCATCCATGATGTGGGAAACGTCTCTTGGGGGGTTGGCATACACTTGGGTCCTTAGGATTTAAATGGATTTATGATGCATGTGTATATATATATATATTATAGTTTTTAAATGTAATATAATATAAATATATATATATATATAATAAAATATAATTTATATAATATAATATTATATATATAGTGTATGTAACTCACTCAATATATGCTGATTGGCCGGAAAATGCTGTGAATGATACCCGGTGACCCCTCTGTGTAACCAACAAGGACGCCTATGGCAGGGTATTCCTTGGAACACCTTGAAAACGTATGAAGATCAAATTCTTGAAGAGCATTGAAAACATATAAAACAAACAGTCCCTTTTGACTGGGCTAAAGGGGAACAACATCAGATCTGGAAACCTATCCCTGCGTCAATCCTATCAAAGGTATTAAGCAAGTCCGTCCGTGGATATATGTGGATATAATTTACCCCGGAATTTGCGCCCACAATGTTCTAGTTGGCTTCAACACATGATTCAACCCGTCCCAAAATCATGCAATTGAATGGCATTTGAATATCATTCATGGTAACAATAGGCCAACAAAAAAAACAATACAAAGAACGAACCAACATACAAAGATCCAAAGGTAAGGTATCCCCTCAAGACTTTAGGCTAGTTCTACCTGGTAGAATCTACCACACACATTCTGCCAGCATTCGTCGGCGTTCTCTGTCTCGATCCTCATGTTCATTTACTGTTTTCCTCATACTCAGAATTCGTTTTCTCAGAAAAGACAGGATAACACTTTCAGACCTGTCACACCCCCAGGTCACTAATGCTTCCCAATATCAAGAAAATATGGGATTGTTTCAGGCCAGCCCCACAAAACCCAATCAATTTCTCCCAGAAATTGCGAGCACAAACCCCTTTCAGTCTTCATTGGTCTCTCCCAAATCCCAGATGGTGAAAAATCCCGAAAACCAAATCCCTGAACCAAACCACCAACCACCAAACCACCCAACGAAAATCGTCAAAAGAAACCCTCCGGGCCCCAGTTATCAGTTGGTTTCTACCCTCCAAATATCTTTGATATAGTTGGATCTAAGAGTTTAGATAACAAGTTAGATCCAACTAAATCAGTGTAAATCCAATATCAGTTGGTTTAAATATCTAAGTTTTCTCATCACCAGCTTAGCTACCTAAGAGACCCCTGCAGACATCTCCGAGGCGCTGCTCCTTGCTGAAAGCCACCACCTCTGCGGCGCCGGCGCCGAGGAGCGCCTGCGGCCGCAGCTCGCGCCAGAGCCGGGCCAGGCGCTCGGCTTCGGCCGCCTGCGAAGCTGGAGCTTTCCATGGATCTGATCCGCCCGAAATATGGATTTTTCGTGGATTTGTTCATGGAAAAAACTGCATGATGGAAAATCGTTTAAAAAAAGGGAGTGTACCCGAACATGTCGGATAAACCCACACAAAACCATTGAAACATAATGTTTCTGAATGTTTCCTATGAAACCGTCCCTCCGGGAGCACATCCGATGTTCAGAACCAGGGTTGGGATCCTATCCATGACAAAATAAAAGCAACTCGTATGGAGTTTCAGGACGTTTCAGGTGGAGGTAGAAACCGGTACAGTATAAGCATGGAATGCCCTGGATACAACCGACAGGAGTTGGTATGCATAAGTCGAACTAGATATGTGCCTGGCAACTATGGGTGCTATATAAACACATTTGAAATCATTTGAATATATACTCATGCAATCTCATGAACTTGCTAACTGGGACTGGCTCCTGGAGTTAGGGCCTTTGGTTTCACTTGTTTTGCCTATCCCCTCCATGATGTGCCAAAATCCAATTTCTTGGGTTGGCTTGAGGTACTGTAGCTTTAAAAACATTCGTTCCAGAGCAAGTTCGTCACTAACATATCCAACATCACGACAATACTTAAGTGTCACATCAGCGTACACAACGATGTTTTAAGTGTTCTGTTTGTTTTTCAACTTTCAATGAGCTCACACATTTACATCACCCTTGATGGCACGGCCTGGCCCCAACCGGCCCCAACATGTAGTTCCGTTGTTTAGGCACATCATCCCAACAATAGAAGACAGAAGCGACAACTTATATAAAAACATTTGTCAAAACACTTGAAACTCTTGGAAACCACAGAAACAAACACTTGAACCCCCCCAAAGTCATACATATGGGTGCAGGTCAAAACCCTCATGCCCCAATAGCTGGTATAGCTAGATGAGTCCTCCAAAATTGTTTTGACCCAATCAAAATGGCAATTTAATGGGGATACCCTCTGTGAATTTAGCTAAATATAGCATCATAGCTTTGGAAATATTTCGAGCAAGTAAATCATCAACCTAATAAATCATCAACCTAATAAATTGGCACTCTCCACATCTACGTTAGTTTGCAATAATCTACTGGGGGCTATACTACTATACTCAATTCTCAAACACACCATCTGACCCTGTGACCACGACGATGACCGACAATGGCCTTGTCGGGCATGTCATCACTGGCTGCGACCGGTACGCCGAGGCGCCAACATGCGTAGCAGCAGGCATACCACCTGACGGGTATGACGGAAATCCAATGTCCAAAAAACGTCATAGATCTATGGGGATGATGCTGGTCCTGAAAACATAAGTTTCAAAACAATAGTCATGTCATGTAATATGGACCTGTTGGTTTGTCTGCATCTCTTTACTCCATAGGAGGATTCAGGCCCTGAAAAGGCTTAGATATAGACACATCTTGGTGCTGAGCAATCAACTCCCTGGACCTCACCGCTGCAATCACATCAGCGGCACATGAACCGACCACATTTGGTTTGGTTGGAATGTTGGGTATACCCGGAGTATACCCCCAGATTCACTGGGTCACCCCCATCACAAAACATATCACATGGCCATAAATAGGAAGGTAAATCCACCATTTTCAACCCAACCCATGTCCGTTAATAGTTATATATAGAATTGGTTGATCCGTTGATCCCTAACACCCTTTTTTCATTGTTAAATCACCACAAATCCATCAACCAAAACCACAGATCCTATCCCCAGAGCCGAAATCCTGGGACGACCATTGGGCAAAGCGGCACGTTGCCACGTGGCAAAGCTAGAGCTACGGGTCGAGGTGTTGCCCTTGGATCCTGGTGAGGTGCGCGTGGTGAGCCATGGGATGCCATGGGTCTCTGTGGAATGGCGAGATAGGTGAGATAAGTATCACGTTAAAACCCAGAGGTCACTGGGGTCATGGTAATTCAACCAGAATTCTTCAACGGAAGGCAGGATGTATTCCAGCATACATTGGGAATCAACAAAAACAAACTGGATTGAACAGGCCGAAACATGGATGTGACATGATTTGTCCATGGAACATAGGGGTCTAAACAATGATGGAATTGGGGGATGCTATATTAAATTTCACGAGCTCCCAACATGGGCCCCAGATGGCCCAACGTAGGCCCGACATGGGCCCAACATGGCTGAACATGGGCCCGACTTGGCCCAACATAAGCCCAAGATGGGCCCAAGATGGCTCAACATGGGCCCGACTTGGCCCAACATGGGCACAACCTGCGTTCAACATAGGCCCCGACTGCTTCCATACAGGCAAGCACTGCGCGTTATCCCTGCCTCAGTTCAACATAGCCCTCCTTGGGTTTGCGCGGAGAATCTCGGCCCAATCTTCCCACACCATGCGCCAAACGTCCTTGCTTGCCGGCGCCCGGCTGTCAGGCGTAAGCCTAAATAATCCGGGCGCCGGCCACGGAGCCCGTGTCCTTGCCGGAGGCCTTCGGTGGTAACCGAAGGTTATTTAAGCGCTTACGCGCGACAGCCGGCCAGGGGCCCATGTTGAGTACAACTACATTCAAATATACGAACTGGTGTTTCATACTACCTCCGGGGCCTTGCGGTCTGGCCCGCCCTCCACATATTTAAATGTCGTTACCGTGTGTATATATATATATATGTATATATATATGCATGTACAAAAACACTAAGAACTAAACCACAACAAATCCATAGAAATCTTACCATAGATCACCATCCTCGCCTCGGACTGCTCCGCCTTCACCCCGTGCCGCGCTAGCAGCGCCGCCACGCGTCCCGCGGCACGGCGAAGCTCACCGTAGCTCCAGCAGCCCGTTATTGCATCGACCGCCGCCGGGGCGTCCGGCTGGTGCTGCGCCACGGCGTCGATGTAACCTGGGCGCGCGTGGGGGGTGGAGCCTTGAACCGGTGCAGATCCTCCAGGGCTTGGTAAATGGGCTTGATCAGCATAATGATTGGGGAGGATTGGAGTATGTAATGAAGATTAAGAGGTGTATTGAAGAATGTCCGTTTTTTTTTAAACATCACCCAACAAAAAGGAATATAATTTCCAAGAGATACTTCAAAGTGATGTTCAAAATACCCAAAGCAAGATATTGACTTGCCAATCCTTGTCTTCTTGTGGTGAACATGGTACTCATGAGATATGTCTTGGGAAATAGTTGGGGGCACGATGCCCGCCAAAATGATAATAGAATGGGGCCAACGTGTCGGCGATCCATAAAATGTAAAAATCCATGGGGAGTTCCATGGGGATTTAACGAATGGAAATAGGGAGTTGTAAATAAATGATAATGCTAGCCCAAGGTTAATCAGTCTATTATTCTGAGTGGTGCCAATTTTAAAATGTGTTTTCTCGCAATTTTGGCGTAACCCTCCGAATGGGTTAACTGTCACGATGGTACGAAACAAGGTCGTGGTCCCAAACGATAGCTAAGCTGGCAAACATAACTAGGCGAATAATAGATTATAGTCGCTGTATATTATATCCATAGTTGCAACGGCGGGAACACCCCGTACTAAATCCGCCAGCCTGCCGGCGTGTTTCGTGGATGTTCTTGTGATACATCTTCTATACCCTCAACTGCTTCCAGGGGGGGTAGGTATTACATCTTAGACCCCAAAAACCAGGGGTCTAAAACCGTGTTCTGCCTTTTTTTCCGTACCCGCTTGTAATGACCCTATAGACCCCCCCCGGTACCGTAAATACGGGTCTAGGGTCACCAAGAAGGTAGCAAGACAAACGGTGCAAGCACGGGTAGGATTAAAATAGACACCAAAAAAAAACAGGCCCAGAAAGATTATAGACCCCAGTTTTTTGATAAAATGATTTTTTCCAAACCATGTCAGACCCCTGTTTGGGTCAACCAATCTTAGACCCCAAAGGTGGAAACTCCCAAATTTGACCAATCATTGATTTACCGTGAATCCATTTAAGACCCCTGCTAGGGGTCAAACCAATTTCAGACCCCACCAGCAACAGCACAACAGGAGATTAGGGTCTCTGCAAGTTTATGTCAGCTGAGGGCCTTTTAGATTTTGTGCTTCTGTGGCTCAAGCTTGCATGCGTTTGACCAGATTTGCAGAGAACATATTCAATGTTCAGCCTTGCGCTTCCATTTTGGGAGCACTGTGCGCTTCTATGTGGTAATTACCGTGATTCGCTTCCATTTTTGTACCACTATACGTCGCCTAAGTTCGTATCAAATTTGAAATGTTCCGTAGGGGGGTCCCAAGCTACAGGGGTCTAACTTGGTTTTCTTGTGGCCTAGGCGGCGGTCTTTCTTGAAATTGAAGGGCAATATCATTTCAGACCCTCCCTTGGTATCTTTTCAACTTGCGGTGGGTGTCTCTTAAATGCTATGGGGAAGTTAGGGTCTCTGAAACTTTATGTCAGCTGAGGTCTTTTTAGATTTTGTGTTTCTGAATCAGTATGAAATTTGCAGTGTTTTATGAGGGGGTCTCTAGCTAGAGGGTCTAATTTCGTTTCCTTGTGGCCTAGGCGGTGAATTTCTCTTGAAATTGAAGGGCAATATCATTTCAGACCCTCCCCCTGATATTTGCTCAACTTGCGGTGACACAGTGGGTGTCTCACAAATTTTATCTCCACAGTCTCTGAAACATTTGTGTCAGTTGAGGGCCTTTGAGATTTTGCGTTCATATTTTATTTTCATTGGGGTTAAGTTTTCACACGATTGACAAGATTTGCAAAGAACACATTTGATCTTCAACTTTGCGCTTCCATTTTGGGAGCACTGTGCGCTTCTATTTTGGAACTGTGATTCGCTTCCACTTTTGTACCACTATGCGTTGGCTGAGTTAGTCTCAAATTTGAAGTGTTGCTTAGGGGGTTCCCAAGCTACAGGGGACTAATTTGGTTTTCTTGTGGCCTAGGCGGTGCTTTTTCTTGAAATTGAAGGGCAATATCATTTCAGACCCTCCTTTGATATCTTTTCAACTTGCGGTCAGTGTCTCTTAAATGTTTTGGGGAAGTTAGGGTCTCTGAAACTTTATGTCAGCTGAGGGCCGTTTAGATTTTTGTGTTCATATTCCATTTTTCTGTGGCTCACGTTTGCATACTTTAATCTTCACCTTTGCGCTACCAGTTTGGGAGCACTGTGCACGTCCGTTCTTTTACCACTATTCGGCTCCATTATGGTACTGTTATGCGCGTCCATTTTGTACCAGTGCTGAGTTAGTCTCAAATTTGAAGTTTTCCACAAGGGGGTCCCAAGCGACAGGGTCTAATGTTGTTTTTTTTGTGGCCTATGTGTGACAATTCTCTTGAAATTGAAGGGCAATATCATGTCACACCTGATATCTTTTCAACTTGCAGTGAGTGTCTCTTAATTTTTATGGGGAGATTAGGGTCTCTGAAGCTTTTGTGTCAGTTGAGGACCTTTTAGATTTTGTGTTCATATTCTTTTTTGCTGTGGCTCAAGTTTGCATATTTTTGACACAGATTTGAAAAGAATAGATTTGATCTTCAACTTTGCGCTTTCATTTTTTTACCAGTATCCGGCTCCATTTTGGTACCGTTATCCGCTTCTATTTCTGTACCACGATGCATTGGCTGAGTTAGTCTCAAATATGAAGTGTTCCATAGGGGGGTCTCAAGCTACAGGGGTCTACAGTAATTTGGTTTCCTTGTGGCCTAGGCGGTGAATTTTTCTTGAAATTGAAGCGCAATATCATTTCAGACCCTTCCCCTGGTATCTGTTCAACTTGCGGTGAGTGTCTCATATAGTTTTTGTTTGGTGAGATTAGGGTCTCTGCAAGTTTATGTCAGCTGAGGGCCTTTTAGATTTTGTGTTTCTGTGGCTCAAGTTTGCATGGGCTTGACAAGATTTGCAGAGAATATATTTAATCTTCAACTTTCCGCTTCCAGTATGGGAGCACTGCGCGCTTCCATTTTGATACCACTATGCGCTTCCATTTTGGGAGCACTATTGGACAACACACATCATCCAAACGTCGGTTGAAATTGGCTCCAAAAAAATGTAGACGAAGGTGCACCCCATCCAAACTCTGGTTGATAATTTTGCGCCACGTGAACCATCAACAGTCGCTGTTACTAACAAATATACAAATTAAACCTACAGATCCTACAGTATCAGCAGCCGCATTCAAATATAATCAAATATCTGATGTCCATAAGTGCAATGAGTTGCA